CCTGATTTGTTTGGTGGAGGTTAGATGATGTTGGCTATTTGTTAAGCATTCACCATCATTTGTTTGTGGGAAGGCCGGCACGCCAGGCCTGCATGGTGGCCAGGCACTCAGCTCCCAGGCAAGCAATGCACACTTCTTTTGGCTTTGGCAATCACACGTAGCTGAGTAAGATTGTCTTCCATAAACACGGTTTTAACAATGAGTCTGTAAGTGACTGTGGAGGCCAATTCTGGATCCACACGTCCTTCCACAGTGGGGATATTGGTTTCCAGGTGGGAGTTGATCACAGTGTGGATTTGCCTAGCGTGCCTTCCTCTTAGCACATTTCTCCCTTACGTCCTGAATTTGAGTATCTTCAAAGCCCATGACACCTTTGGTAAAGGCTGTTCCCTAATTGGAGTGCTTGCAGGACAGTGTTTCCCAGTTGTCAGTGTTTATACTACATTTTTTAAGATTTGCCTTGAGACAGTCTTTAAACCTCTTTTGTTGACCACCAGCGTTACACTTTCCATTTTTAAGTTTAGAATAGAGTAGTTGCTTTGGAAGACGATATTCAGGCATCTGCACAGCATGACCAGTCCAACGAAGTTGATGTTGAAGAATCATTGCTTCGACATGGGTGATCTTTGCTTCTTCCAATACACTGCTACAGTGGTACCTCGTGTTAAGTACTTAATTCATTCCGGAGGTCCGTTCTTAACCTGAAACTGTTCTTAACCTGAAGCACCACTTTAGCTAATGGGGCCTCCTGCTGCCGCTGCACCGCCAGAACACGATTTCTGTTCTCATCCTGAAGCAAAGTTCTTAACCTGAGGTACTATTTCTGGGTTAGCAGAGTCTGTAACCTGAAGCGTATGTAACCCAAGGTACCACTGTATTAGTTCGCCTGTCTTCCCAAGTGATGTGTAAAAGTTTTCGGAGACACCATTGATGGAATCTTTTGAGGACTTAGGGTTGGCGTTTATAAATGGTCCATGTTTCACAAGCATACAGTAAGGTTGGTAGTACAATAGCTTTGTAAACAAGCATTTTGGTTTCCCTGCGAATGTCCTTCTCCTCAAACACACTGCACTTCAATCAGGAGAAAGCTGCACTCGCAGAGCTCAGGCAATGCTGGATTTCAGCATCAATGTTGGCCCTTGTGGAAAGATAACTGCCCAGGTAGGAGAAGTGATCAAGGTTTTCCAATGTTACACCACTGAGTTGGATTTGTGGCGCTGCACAAGAAAGGCCAGAGCAGTACGTCCCTGCCTGCCTGCCGTCCCACTTGTCTGGCCACTTCCAGCAGCAAGGGCTGGTGGACTGGCTGGCTGGGCTCCCTCAACCACTTGCTTGCTTACTCCAAGGCCACTTCAGCTCCTGGCAACCAGCACCCCCTGGCCAGCCCCAGAGGCACCTTTCGCCTGGGCAGCTTGTAGCCAGGACTGCTGCAACAGTCACACAAGCCTTTGGGAGGCAGAAACGGGAGATGGCATCCAAGGAAGGAGGGAAGGAAAGAGGGACAGAGGCTGGTGTTGCCTGTGGCACCCCTGACTATCATTCAAGGCACCCCAGGGTGCCACAGCGCACTATTTGAAAACCACTGATCTAAAGAAAGGCCGATAAGCCAAAAACATTAAGGAGAAGAATTACCTTAGTGAGGGTCAATAGCAGAGAGGAAATAAAAATCTTAATACATACCCTCCAACATTTCTCTGATGAAAATAGGGATGTCCTAAGGAAAAGCGGGACATTCCAGGATTAAATAAAAAACTGAGACCGCTTCTGTAAATCCAGGAATGTCCCTAGAAAATAGGGACACTTGGAGGGTCTGTAAGGATAGGTCTGAGGAAGTGATATAATCCCTCCCAGCCCTGGACATTCTGAGCATCTGAATGGTGTTATTTGGTTGGCAAATTCATTGAGGCGACATGGAATTGAGCAGCAGGTCACCCCCAGGAGTCAACTGGCGAGAGGGAGGAGCAGGGATATTTTAAGCCGCCCTTTCCTAACCTGGTGCCTTCCAGTTGTTTTGGACTCCAGCTCCTATCAGCCCCAGCCAGCAAAGCCCATGCATCACCACCAGTTCTTATTAGTTATATTGCACATCTGTAGCAAGTAAAGTGCGTGTGCACAGCCTTCTGCTACATCTAGCGGGCATTTGGGGAGTTTGCAGCTTGGTCTGTTCCGGGATTCCTGCTGATGGGTCTCCTAGTCCCTGCACAGGGTCTCTATTATGCCTGCCCCTCCGCAAGAAACTACACTTAGAAAGGTATTCAAATTACAGTCAGAGCTGAACAACCTATTGCACATAACTGCACAATGCAATGCACATACTGAAATAATAACCATCATGTTTCCTTCAATAACCTTTTTGCTTCTGCCTCTCAGTCTCCAGGATTACAAAACAACAGAGGCAAAATAACAGGATTATATAAGCATTTAACAGGATCAAACTGTAACTAAGAAAAATTGACAACAAATTGTGCAGGTGTGACTTTCCCCAAAATTTGAGTGAAAATTGTGCCATGAAAAATGCAATATGGCCACCACTAAATAGTTGTTTTAATACATTTATTTGTTTTTAACAATTATATGCTATCTTTCAATAAAATATTACAGAATACAGTATCTTACAAATAAAACAGTAAAATGCAAAGTGAAATAGATAGGAAAATACCAAATGAAATCAAAAGAGGCCATTCGACATGCTTGGGCACTGTGACAATCTCTGGTTTTCTGCCCAAATTATGCCTAGAGAATAAGGCGCATCCCTAACATGAAGGAAGTTTCAATTGAAGGCTGTCTGGCAGGGAAATGGAAGATCTTGATGACAGTTTGCAGCTGAGACAAACAGTTCCCTCTGACCCCAGGGAGTGCCTAGCCTCCCTGTGGTTCCCGGCAGGTGTCAACCACCCATTACTGTGAAAGGTGACATAAGGTCTGATTGGCCAATTGAGTGACAGCTGCCAGTCAAATATACATGGGCAAGAACCTCGTAACAAGGGGACTGTAAGGTCAGACCTTTTCTTGGTGATAATAAGTAGCCACCCTAGAGTGAAGAGATAATTTAATGAGTAGGGCAGAGTTGTGGCATAGGTGATGGAGGGTCCTAAATCTGCCAGACACCTTTGTAAATCTAATCCCATGTGTCTAAATATTATTAATAATATAATTATTTAATATTAAAAATGTGAGTGTTAGGCCTGTACTGATAACCTTGGTACAGTTATTATAAATAAATGCTCTCAAAATGTACTGCTTGGCATTTTTTCTTGAATTAATCAAAGAGAGCCTTTATACCTTACTGAGGATCTCACCCACCCCAAATGGCTCCCCCAACATGCCAATTATTTTTCTCTCTTCTCACCTCTGCTCCAGCAACACCACATCCAGCAAGCATATACAAAATGCAAATTGCACCTGCTTTCAAATTTGCATGTTCTGGTGTGGTGCTACATCTCAGAACCAAGGAGGCTGAGTTGTCAGAAACCCCCATAAACCAAGGATCTGGACCAAATGGGGGTGGGGGTGAGGGACAGAGAAAAGAAAAATTCTACATCCCAGTTCTGTCCAAAAGCTGATTTAGTATTAAATGTTTATTGCTAAGCAAAATTGGGCTTTCAAGCTCATTAATGTTTTAAAGGCAATCTCCGAGTCTATCATTTTATAGACTGGGAAGCCTTCTATTTTTGCGTTTCAACGTATTCATTAAAATTTAACTACTGCGTTCTCTCACACTTTCGTCAACAAGAGAATCTGGAGCACCGTCAGTCAGGAGTCAGGATTCTGCATTCTGGTGTAAGCTAGATGTCCTGAATTGTATTGTGATTACAAGTCACTATCTATTTGGAGAAGCATCACTTATATGAAAGGGAAAATATTTATTGTAAAATTGAAGCTGACTCCTTTATGACTTGTTTCACCCATTTTTGGGCAAGTGGTTGCATGTACAGTTTAAGCACATGTACCCACACTGGAGGCATGACAAAGACATACATTTTAATAGTGGGGTTTTTTTTTACAGGAATGGATGAATCTGTCAAATTTGGTTTTTCTCAGTTTATCACATTTTTCCAGTCTAAAGTTCAGCTTTCCACATCATTTTGTGGGGATTTTATTAAAGTCCTCATGAAAATTCACCTGCATTTTTAGTGCAAATTACTCCTAATATGCAAATGTTGACATTATTCTAGATTTTATTGCAGTTCTTTAATGAGTTTTAAAATGTTTTGTTTTGTCTTGTTATTGTTAGATTATAGATACAGTGCCCTTTTTTGGGAGGAAGGGCAGGGTAAAAATGTAGCCAATTAAATAAATAGATTTCTTAAAAATGTAAATGGAATTACAATGCATCTTATTATATTACATATGTAAACAACCAATAGTGGGACAGTCTCTGACCTGTGTGCCTCGCTTACTCCCAGAATATTTATATTCCACTTTCCAGGTCCGAAAGGAACACACAAATAGCAGATTGGAACAATCTATGAAAATAGAACAATAACAGAAAAATCCAGTAAGTAATGAAATAGCAAGGTTGTCTCCACACTGGCACTGTCTTATGGGTGGAAGACAAGCCGGTTTAGGTTCCCACAATTAAAGAGGACTAAAGTGCTCCGTCTCCCTACCTAGTGCAACAAATCCACTTTAAAAACAAAACACACCAGACTTTCTGTGATTAGGAAAGCGAGGAGAAATGCATTAAAAAGTGAAGGATGAGCCAATGATCAGCAGGAAGGTGTACAAGCAACCTGCAAGCAAGTCATGATGTGTACACATGACTTCCCTGCAAACAAATCAGAACACAAGCTCAGTAAATGCCAGCCATATGCTACATACATGGAAAGCACATGACTTTCCCCAAAGAATCCTGGGAGTTAGAGTTTGTTAAAGGTTCTGTGCATTGTAGTTCCTTTAGGGGTGAACTACTGTTCCCAGGATTCTTTGGGGGGAAAGTCATGTGCTTTCCACGTATGGTGTGTATTTGCAGCCCAAGCCTAACTTCCAAGCAAATAAGGATGAATAAACAGGTGCTAAGAATTTAGTAGAATACCCATAAAATTAGTGATTTCACATTCGTGCCATGAAAAACGAGTAACTACAGATTACGTACAGAGATCTTCCTCATTTTTCATTCCGTGTTTTTATTTCTCTCCCAGCTGTGCCCTCTTTCGGCCATTAGAGGAAGCCAGAGAGCTACAGATGGAGTAACTGGAAAAGCAGCCACCAGGTCTTTTAAGGTTGGTTCCAAAAATGGACGGCAGGGGAAATGGATTCTCTTTCCGTGCCACAGAAATAGCAAAGCAGTGAGGCAGAAACACACTCTAGCAATCTAGTTTAATGTTCCAGAGCACAATGAGGAACACCTAAACAACAACAGACCATGAAGTAGCAGGAGACTATTGGTGATTGGAGCCATTTGCAAGGCTAACGTGGCTGGTCTGACAACGGCCAGAGGATTTCAACAACACAAGTGTCAAATTAATTAGCACTTTAATAAACATTTCTTGGTTGCTCTGCATTAGCAGCCCCCACTGTGTGTGGATAGCATTTTCCTTCTCCCCGCCCCCTCCAAGCTGCATTCTGAACCAGATAATAGATGCCAGTCTGCTGATGTAGCAGTGATAAGAAGATGAGAAGAGCCAGGATTAGGCCCAAGGGTGCCCATCTAGATCAGCATCCTCTTCTCACAGTGGTCAGCCAGAGGTCTAAGTGGAACATCCCACCCCCACCCCGCAGCCACATGTGAATCCTCACAACTGCCTCCAACAGCGCCTAGAATGTGCACCAGCCCTGGCCAAAAATGATAAGTGTGGAGATTTTCTGCTGATTCTTAATTATCAATAGCAAAACTTGGACACAAATTTGGAAAATCTTGCTGTGAGGACGCAGCTCTATTTCTCCTTTACACCTGCAGGTGAGGCAGTGGAAGTCCTGGACCAGTGTCTTGCTTTGGTAATGGACTGGATGAGAGCCAACAAACTGAAACTCAATCCAGATAAGACTGGGGCACTGTTAGTGGGTGGTTCCTTAGACCAGATGGATGGGAGTTGGCCTGCTCTTGATGGGGTTACACTTTCTCTGAAGGAGTGAGTACATAGTTTGGGGGTACTTCTGGATCCTTTACTATTGCTTGAGGTTCAGGTGGCCTCAGTGGTGCCGAATGCCTTCCATCAGCTTCGGCTGGTGGGCCCACTGGACACGGATAGCCTAATTTCTGTTGCCTATGCTCTGGTAACCTCTAAGTTAGATTACTGCAATGTGTTATATGTAGGGCTCCCTGTGAAGATGGTCTAGAAACTTTAGATGGTGCAGAATTTGGTGGCCAGATTGTACACTGGGACAAGAGGGTTTGAGCATATAATGTTGATCCTGGCCTGACCATACTGGCTGCCAACTAGCTTCTAGGTCCCATTCAGAGTGCTGGTTTTGACCTATAAAGCCTTAAATGGCTCAAGATCGCAATACCTCAAGGACCATATCTCACTATATGACCTGACCTGGACCCTGCAATCATCATCAGATGCCCTTCTCCATGTGTCTCCTCCACAAGAGATCCAGGGAGCAGCAACAGGAGAACAGGCCTTTTCTGCAGTGGCTCCCCATTTGTGGGCTGCTCTCCCCAGGGAGGCTCAGCTGACACTTTCATTATACATCTTTAGGCACCAGGTGAAAATGTTTCTCTATAACCAGGCCTTTGGCTGATTAACATTCTGTGTCCTTTTAAATGTGTTTGTGAGATGGGGTGTTATTAATTTGTTTTTGTTTTATTAAGTATTTTGTGTTCTCATTTTGTATTTCTATGTTGTGAAACATCCTATGACCTTTGGAGCAATGGCAGTACAGTGGTACCTCGGTTTTTGAACAGCTTTGTTCATGAACAACTTGGAACCTGAACGCTGCAAAACTGGAAGTAGGTGTTCCGGTTTGCGAACCCTTTTTCAGAAGCCAAACGTGCTCTGTTTTGAGTCCCCCTGTGTTTCCTGTTGTGCTGCTAATTTGTGGGGCCCCCCAATTGTAATTCAAGCCTTTTGTTTCTGATTGCAGTGTTCTAAGGTGATATTTGGAGCTTTTGTTTTTGCTATTTATTTTGCGTTTTTTGTTTTGAGGCTTTTTCAGTTAATTTGTTTTTGTGACTGTGTGGGTCCCAGCTCAGCTACTGATTGATTTATTGATTGTGTGACTGCGGAAATGGATAAAAGCCCCTCATCCAAACAATGACTATCATCAGTAAGAAAAAAAAATAATTTTAATTTTTATCATCTACAATACTGTTTTATTTATTTTATGCTTTCATTTTATGGATCATTGGTCTCATTAGTAAAATTCATGTTAAATTGCTGCTATAGGGCTTGTTTTTAAAAGTCTGGAATGGATTAATCCGTTTTGCATTACTCTCTATGGGAAAGTGTGCCTTGGTTTTGGAACGCTTTGGTTTTGGAGCAGACTTCCAGAACAGATAAAGTTTGAGAACCAAGGTACTACTGTATATGAATTATTATTATTATTATTATTATTGGCCACTGATTTCATACCCTCCAACATTTCTCCAATGAAAATAGGGACATCCCATTTCATAATGATCATTTTACTATTTATATCCCACACATCTTACTGGATTTCCCCAGCAACTCTGGGCAGCTTCCAACATATATAAAAACATACTTTTTAAAAAAAAAAAAAAACTTCCCTATACGGGATTGCCTTCAGATGGCTCAGGGGTTGACGCCACACCCTCCAACTCCACATCCTCCAACATTTCTCCAATAAAACTGGGACATTCTGGGATCAAATCAGAAACCAGGACGGCTTCTCTAAATCAGGAACATCCCTGGAAAACAGGCACACGTTGAGGGCCTGTGATATCAGGGCTCCCACATTGTAATAGCCAGAACACTGTTGCCAAAAGCATTGAATGAGACTCAATGCTTGGCAAAGATGGCTCCATCCATGATGAAACTGCCTGGGCAGGCACTCTGCCGGCGGCCTCCATTCCGAAGAACCAGCAAGTCTGTGCTGGCCTTCAGGAATGCTGAAGTCTCACCTGCATTTTCTTACCCAGCTGCTGCACGACACCAAAGTTTATGCTAATAGGCTGCAGTGGAACAAGAAATGTGCAAGAAACTTCTTTTATTTTTCTCACTTGCTTGGACTATCCAGCGATACACAAAGAAGGCTTGGGTAGAATCCTGGCCCCTAATTAAAAACATAACACCTATTTTCCTAAGGAAGGCACATTTTGAAGGTAAATTCTTCAAACAGGTTTGTCTAGTGAAACGGACTCTCCAGCTTCTAGCTCTCGAATAATTCAAGGTTAATTTATGAATTGGTGAAAATAATATTTGAAACTTGCATGCATGAACAGCACTGAGTCCACAATAAACTGCTGCGTTGAGGTTCCCTGGCTCAGCTCGTTGTCTCAGCAAGTTTAATGGTTGTCTTTTCATGCTCCTCCTGACAACCTGATATGCAGCACTCTGATTTGCTTGCACAAAGTTAGGTTAGGTTGAGTCCTTACAGAGCATTCACCCTAATCTGTTTGCAGGAAGGCTACAGGTATATGAGAATAAGCATTCATCCTTAGTCCATCTGGATTTGCTTGCAGGTTGTTTATACGTCTTTCTCATCACACCTGCACCATATATTTAAAGCACTTTTATATGAGTTCAACAGTCATGGCTCTCACCTCCCCCCAGGAATCATGGGAACTGTAGTTCATTAAGGGTGCTGACCTCTCAGACCCACAGCAAACTACAGTTTCCATGATTCCCTGTGACTGTATAGTGTGGATGTGATCCATTAAGCATTCCTTCATCCCTCCCTTTTCAGTGCATTTCCTTGTCAGTTTCCTAACTGCATAAAGTTATTTTTGTTTATTTAGGGATTTGTTCCACTAGGGTGACAGAGCGCTGTAATCCACAAACCTAAATTTCTGGTATGCACTTAAATCCCTCCTGCAAGCTGCTAGCAGCCTGGAAGCGACCACACTGGTGTCCCCGCCCCCCATGAAAAGACAACCATTAAACTTGCTGAGACAACGAGCAGAGCCAGGGGACCATAAGACAGCAGTTTATTGTAGACTCCGTGCTGTTCATGCATGCATGTTTCAAATATTATTTTCACCAATTCATAGATCAACCTGGAATTATTAGAGAGCTAGAAGCTGGAGAGTCAGTTTCACCAGACAAACCTGCTTGAAATGTTTGAATATACCTTCAAAATGCGCCTTCCTTAGGAAAATAGGTGTTATATTCTTAATTAGGGGCAGGATGCAGCTACCTCCCTCTACAGTTGTGGCAACCAAGGCCAGCTGACTCAGTGCAGTGGGTGAACAATCATTAGGTTTGGGGATAAGTCAATGAATGTCTCCTGGGAAAAGCTCCTCATTTCCTTCCCCTCCACCCAGCGCAGCAGCCGCACCCTGCCCCATCCCATTAGCTGGGAAGCAGCGTGAAGCTCAGGCTGCAGCGAGGATCAAACTTGTCTGGCAGGTTTGGGGTTGTTGCTTGCTCCCCCCCTCCGCCTTTCAGCTGCAGACAGAGATGATCAGCTGAAGAGGGAGCAGTGGCCATGCCTGCCTTCCTTCATGCCCTCTGCTTTGCAAGCAGGGCTCGGGAGCACTGACGGACGGCAAGAAAAGAGGCTGCTCCCCTTGCTGGTCCAAGGGAAGACGAGAGAGTCACTGGGGAGGATCAATCCCCTCCCATAGCACTGGATGCTACCATCCACCTCTCTACTGCCATAATTTCTGGGGCTGAGACCCATCTCTGAGCCAATGCAGGACGCAGCACTTTCAAGAGGCACCCGTGGCTTTGGGATGCCATGTCCGCTGCTCCTGCTTCTGGCCTTTGCTGTCATTCTCCTGGATCCTGTCCACTCTCAGCAATGCTCATTGGGAAGCCCTTCGCCCATCCTTCAGTTTGCTGATGTGGGTGCTGAGCAGCGGATTCCTGCCCACCATCGAGTCCCTGGATCTATGGATCACCTCTACGTCCTTGTCCACGGCTACCTTGAAGTTGTTCAGCAGAACCCTTTCCCGACAGGTAAGGAAGCCAACTTCTCCCAGCCGTGGGAGCCGGGTGCAGTTGCCAACGGAGCAAGAAACAAACGAGAACAAGCTGTAGCCTGACCAGGCCTTGTACCTTCAAGAGTAGCTTGATGTGCAAGAGTCAGCAGATAAAACTTCTAATAGCATGAGGGTGAAGCACTTGTCACCTGCTCAGATCTGTGGCTGGGCTAGTTCTAAATCCACAAGAGAAGGAACTGGTTAAAGGAAAAGAAAAAAGCAACCAGAGAGCCAAGGCAACAGAAAGGCCTTGAGACCTTTTAGAAAAATGTGGGACCCAAGGAAAGACACACATTAAAGAAACCCCAGGCATTACTGCCACTGCAGGCTCTTAACAGCAGCTTCATTCTTCTCTGCTAGGGTGGCTAAAATGCAACACATTTACACACACACACACACACACACACACACACACACACCAGTGGTAGGTGCCTATCCAGCAAATTCAGGTTGTGTAATTAAAGTGGATTTGGCGCTCTTGTGCAGCAAATCTACGTCTTCCAAAAATGCAACTTTTTGCAGTAAGGAAAGTGACAAGAAAGTGCACTGAAAGTGTGGGATAACGATTGATGTGACATTGTATAACTTCCCTGTAAACAAATCAAAATGAATGCTCAATAAAGAGGTCATCTGGAAGTGTCCTGGGGGTCCCTGCAGCCTGATCCACCATGTAGCAGCTTCTGTGGGTGTTTCCCGTCTTTCCCCTCATCAAAACCCACCAGCACGCCCAGTCTGTTCTGTACCTTAGGCAGACCCCAGCCTCCTAGGAATCTGGCAGGGTGTTCATCTGGCAGAGGCGGATTCAGAGGAGTGCCCATACTGGGCGCTAAAGGGAGTGCTGCAAACATGACTTAGAATAGAAGGCAAGAGGCAAATCAATTCCTTCCACATGGCCAAGAAACACATTTTGATATTCGTTTTCAACATTGCTCCTGACAGAAACATACAGTAATTGTTTTAACTATACAATTTCTTTTAAATTGCATCCTCACTTTCCCCCTAAATCCCTTCTGGTTCAGCATCCATTTCTCACAGTGATTGATTGGTTGTACTTCTATGTCACATTTCATTCAAATTAATCTCAAAGCGTCTTTTAAGCAATGAAAAACAATAACATAATAAAACATACTAGAACATCACAAATATAGCATAAATCATATAAAATAATTAACAAATCATCAATAAAACAATTACAAACTATAAAACACTATTTACAAAACAGAAGTTAATAAGTAAGCTTTTTACAGCAAAAGCCACTTTATATGATTAACAAATCAGTATGGTGGCCAAACAGATGCTTCTTCTGGGAAGCTCATAAGCAGAACCCGAGTGCAACACCAGCAGTCTCTCCCGTTGTATTCAGGGGCACATTACCTCTGACAGTGGATTTAGGATAGAATGGGATAGGACTGTAATGCAGGTATTTCTCATATGAGGAGGACTGGGGTGCCTGAATGTCAGCTGTTTGCATTCAATGCATATGTGGCAAAGCAGAGGAGGGAGTCCACCAACGTCTCTCATATTACAGTTGAAAAGTGATGGGTCCCTTGCCCCCCCCCCCCCCGCCGGCCATTTGTGCATCGGCAAAAAGGAGGAAATGAATCACCAAAGAAGGGGGCACTGATTTGCATAAATTGCATGGAATAGATGTAAATTTAGAAATTATTAATTTAAATTAAAATATGAGACATCTGACCCAGGCCAGGAAGATTGTGACCAGATGATCAGTGTAAAGGGACACATGACCATTCTCTCTACCTGGATTCCTTTTAATAAATCAACTTGTCTGGGCAAGTAGCAAAGCTTGGTTTGTTCCACAGACGGAAGTTGACTGGGAGTTGACTGCAAACTTGTACCTGCTGACTGGGAGTTGAGTGGGAACAGGACTGAAGGTTGGATGTGACAAGGTGCCGCTCCCGTCCACGGGTAGCCAGCATGGTGCTGCCCAGATGCTGTGAACTTAGCGATGGACAAATATGTACATTTCAGTTTCTCTCCCAGTTCTCCACATTTCCACATTAGTTGTGATTATTTTTTTTTTGTCCTCATGAAAATTCACCAGCATTTTAGTGTGAATTTTTCCAGTTCCCCCCTTTTGTATGCAATTTTGCCTTTTCTACACATTTTCATGGTGCAATTTCCACCAATGGAGCACATTCTTGTATGTTATCTTCACTAATTTTTGCAGTTTTCTGCACTTTCCTCTTTCTTTGTACACATTACTTGGCTGGAAACCTGCACTGCGGGATTCAGAAAAGTGCATTTCATAGGATGGCTGTGTTTTGGTAGCTGTATTGTTTCAGAAAGTGCTGATTAGGTTGATTCACCTATCAATGCAAGCTGAGCTGGATATCCGTTCCTTCTCTATGTAAACTACAACTCTCATAAACCTGGCCAGTGTTGAAGGGTTATGGAAGCTGTAATTCCCAATGTCTGGATACACCATATTGACTACCCCTGATTTAGACCCTCTGAGGTCCTGAACAGGGCCTGGTTCTCTTGGCCAAAGTACCGTATTTTTTGCACCATAACACTCACTTTTTTCCTCCTAGAAAGTAAGGGGAAATGTCTGTGCGTGTTATGGAGGGAATGCCTACGGGTGGCATGCCTACGGATTTTCCTCCTCTAAAAACTACGTGCGTGTTATGGTCGGGTGCGTGTTATAGAGCGAAAAATACGGTATGTGAGAAGAAGGTGATACACAACCAGACTGTCCTTTTCCTTTCTTTGCAGCTATGGTGAGCAGCTGCCAGGTTGCTCGGGCAACACTGAGGGGTTAACCTCCTCTCCGAAACTATTTTTCAGAACTAACTGCCCTCCCCTACATATTAAGGTAGATGCTAACACCCTAGTGGGTGTGGGGAATTGAGGCATACAGAGATGAGTTGCACCACTTAGGACTGTGGGCCAGGGGTAGCTAATGTGCAGCCCCTCACCTCAAATGTTGTTGGGCTATGATGCCCATCATCCACAGGCCACTGGTCATCTTGGCTTGGGCTCAGGGTCGGATTTAGGTTTGATGAGGCCCGTAGCAACTGAAGGTAATGGGATCCTTTATATGTCCAGCTGTCCTTTGTCAACAACAAATTGTCGCTTTTTTGAATAAATGCTATGTGGTAATTTATGGACTTAATAGGTATCTAAAGCCATTTTATTTGTTTTTTATACTATATTTTGGAAATGTACATTCAGTTTCTTTTCCTTTACATTTTTTGGGGGGGCCCAAGTGAGTAGGGCCCTAAGCTATAGCTTGTTAAGCTTGTACGGAAATCTGGCACTGCTCGGGCTGCTGAGAGCTGCAGTGAAGAACATGTGAAGGGCAGCACAATGGTTACTCCTGCTATAGGTGAATGCTATTGTGACCGACTGCTCCTCCATATGAAAATGTTCCTCTCATCCTGCACCTAGAAAGATGGGTAGGCTAGATCCTGACACGCTAGTTTTCTATATGAATGGTCCTTGTATGGAGGAACAATCCCTCATGTAAGCCGACAGGACAGCAAACTTGTACCTACTTGCCTGCATTCAGGAACTTACTTATGAGTAGACATGTTTAAGCTTGAACTGTTGAGCTCTAGTCCTATTCACACTTGAATAGGGTTTGAACTCCGTACAAATTACTTCTAAGTAAATATTATCAGGATTGTAGTGTGTGAGTGCAATTATATGCACACTTCCTTGTGAGTAAGCCTCATAGAACTTAGTGAGACATTTTGCAAGTAAACATGTACAGGATCCATCTGTGAACGGATCAACAGCCTCTGTTGACAGAGTTGCGGTCTACATTTCCATGTCATTTCCATGCAAAAAGAAAGAGGCTCTAATAACCAAAGGGAACAAGCCCTTTTCTCAAAGTGTGTATAATAAAAAGACAAATAATAGGTACCAACAATTAACCATAGTCACAGGAAGCTCCTCAGTGATTATGCTAATAAAAGAAAAAACAACAATTTGCTCCATTGATGTTGTGAATGGTTGGGCTTCCCATTGTTTGTCAAGTTTAAAGATGGCAACTCTTAACCATGAGAGAGCGGCCTGGCAGGTTGACTGTATTCATGTTTCTTTTGGAATAAGGTATAGAATGCCAAAATAATTTTTCAAAGAGAAGAAAGGTCAGTTCTGTAGGAACCGTGGTTGCCTTGATACTGTTCCGCGTTTCTGGGGAGACATTTGAAAGGCTAGATAAACACACTCCTACCGTTGCGATGGAAGGAAGGTATAATTAGTGTTAAGAATTTTATTTTTAAAGATTTTTATTTTAAAAAATCAGGATTTTAGAAGTACACAAAACTGGTGCTGAACTGGATTTTCCCTTTACGAAGAGAAGCACAGGCCGTGGGCAAAGGTGTTGAGGGGTGGGTTGCTATGGCAATGTTTGAATATTCTGCAACTAATGTGCCTTATTCCACAGAGTTGCTGAGGGATGCCCTAAATGACCCACCGTCTGCTAATACTTCACAGGTAAGGAAAAACAGAGGAGGGAAGTCCACTTAGGGGGAGGATGTCCACCATTTTGTGAGCTCGGAGTCCATGTTGGATACCACAGTTTAGTTTCTTAGGTATTTTCTTCTTTATATGCCCAACTACAGTTCTGAGGCTTATGCACACATGGCTTCCACAAGAACGTTTTCTGAGACATGGGCTCAAGTGGAGGTATAGCTGGGGAACGGTGTTGGGAGGCTGTGTAGACAGTTGAAAGAGATTTGACATTAGCAGATATTTAAGAAACGGCGAGGACTTGGAGTTGGTGGGCAGTAAACCTGAGGATGTTGTTAAGAGAAGATTATAACAGAAGACATGGGAGTCCTTCCCATCTCAACTCGTCTTGGGTTGCCATATTCCAGGGATCAAAAACCCGGACCCCCACCATCAGGGCACCCCTCACCTCTCTTACCTTTGCTGTCTTCGGCCTCCGGCTCATGAAGGGAGACCGAGCAGCCCCAGGACGGCCACACAAGGCCTGGTGGCGGCCAGGAACAACACCAAGCCTGGCACGACCCCCAGCAGGCCGCTCCAGGCCACCCGATGCCTGCTCCCTGTTCCGGGGCACAGTGCCTTCTGAGCATGCACAAAACAAAAACATAAAAATAAAAACAACCCACCCCTCAAACCCGGACATTTAATTCAAAATGCAAAAATCCACCCAGATGGGGGGGGCTGCCCCCCCCGGACATGTCTGGGAAATTCCAGACTTATGGCAGCCCTGAACTAATTCCTTCCTAGGTAGACCTCCTCAAGTGCCACCCTCTTACCCAGGGGTCTGTATCCCACAAAAGCTAATACCAAGGCTCTTGGTTTTGCTGCAAAAAAGCTATCATGGCTGACTACTCTGGAAATCTCGTCTCCTTAGTTCTCCACTGATAACATGACATTCCAGCATACAAGGAGTCCACATGTCCCCTCTCCAACCTAATCCTTCTTAACAATGGACATTTTTCAATTACAATGAGAATCATAACTAAGGCTACATACACCATACATCTAAAGCACTGTAACACCACTTTAAACTACCCCCGGTGAACTCTGGGAGCTGTAGTTCCTTAGGGGTGCTGAGACTTTTTAGGAGACCCCCATTACTTTCACACACCTAGAATTCCCAGAGTTCCATAGGAAGAGAGATTGATTGTTAAACCACTGTGGGAATTGTAGCTCTGGGATGGGACTTGGCGGTCTCCTAACCACTTTCAGCACCCTTAACTGACTACAGCTCCCAGAACTCTTTGGGAAAAGCCACGACTGTTTAAAGTGATATGATAGTGCTTTAAATGTGTGGTGTGAATATGGCCTCAGGGATCACAGAAGCCAAGCAGAGTGGTGGTGGTAAGAGAGACCAGCGATCATTCTCTGAAGGACTCTTGCTTTCTTCTCCAGATTCTCCAGTATCAAACAGGATACATCATCTGTGCCACAATTGCTGTCATCTATTTTGTGGCGGTGCCCATGACCGGGTTGTGCCTCTGCTGCTGCCGGAAGCACAGGCGCTGTGGCGGGCGGATCAAGGCATACCGTCGCTCCCTTCTCTGCCAGCGCAACCTCCTCATGTTCTGCCTGCTCTTGACCACACTTGTCATCCTGTAAGTGAGGACCTGAGCTAGTCCACGACATCCGTGCAATGGTGGCGGGGCTGCTTGTAGGACTGACAGTTACATGGAGGGGGAAGGAGATGAAACTTTCTGGGGAGGATGTGAGGCTTGCCATTGAACACCTGCATTGGCTTTCCCATTTCCTACCAGGCATATCTAGAGGTTCTGGGTGGTGGTGGTTGTTGTTGTTTTACCTACATAGCTTTAAATAAGGAATTAGGCCTTCCTGATTGTGTTGGGCTTCCATCAGCACCAGCCAGCATGCCAATGGTCAGGGCCAGGGAAGATGGGAGTTAGAGTCTCAAACTGTGTAACTCTTGCCCCCGGTGTCTAAGAGCACAGCAGCATAAGAAGGACAAGAACTGGCCTGAATCAGACCAGTGGCCCATCTGGTCCACCACCTTTTTGTCTCCTCCTCCTTCCAGTTCTGTCCCACCTTTCCTTTGAGGAGCTCCTGGTGGTGTACACAGTTCTTCCCTGCTCCCCATTTTATCCTCCCAACAACCCTGTGCAGTAGACTAGCTTGAGAGACAGTGACTGGCCCAAGGTCACTCACTCACTGGGCTTCCTGGTTAACCAAACTCATTTGGCTATTTAACTCGCCTTGAAGCTTCGCAGGTGGGGCTCCCTATAACCCACAGAGCACCATTCCTATAAGCCCCATTCCTTCTTCCCTTCCTTCCTTTCACAAACCACTTTCCCCAGGTTTCTGTGCATCCTGATTTGTTGTGGACAAGTTATGCCAGCACTGTCAGTGGTTCAAGATGTTTGTAGGCAGATTAGTGTTCCTTGTGCTTCATGTTAATTTAGCATTTTGGCCTTCAGCTAGTGAGTCAGGACTCTCAAGTGGACGATGCTGCAACTTCATGTGGATTTTAGAGCCAGCACCACCCTCTCTTTTTTGTTGTGTAGGCTTTATTTTTAAAGGAGAAAAGATGTGTGGAATGGAGAAAGAAAAGACTAATGGGAAAACTAAAGCGCAAATGAGAAAGAAATGTCAGATCTGTCAAGCAGAGAATTGTCCCATATTGCAGGCTGGGGTTGGAGATGGTCCAAAGTCTGAGAAGGTGAAAGGCAGGCTTGGACCAACTGAGCTCTGTGGTGCAGTGGTTAGAATGCTGGACTGGGGAGATCAGAGTTCAAATCCCCACTTGGCCATGAAGCTCATCAAGGGACCTTGAGCAAGTCAGTATAGCCTACCCCACAGGGCTGTTACGATGCTAAAACAGGAGGTAACCATGTTTGCCACCATGAGTTCCTTGGAGGAAAGGGAGGGAAGTAAGTCAGTAACCCTGGAAGTACAGAATGCTGACATGACATGAAAACTACCTGGTCCATCACCTGATGGCTGCAAATCAATGTGTGAATGAACAATCACTCTGCCTGATAGTATTTTCACCCCACTGTGTATGTATACATGGATACAGTTCACACATATTCAATTGCTTGCCAGTCATCCAGTATTCAGTAACCAAAACAAGAGACGTGCATAGTCAGACAGAGGAGATCACTATTTATACTATGCTTGTACCACTTTTCTTGCAGAGGTGGTGTTATCTGTGCTTTTGCTGCCAATCAGAAGGTGAAAGAAGAGTTGGAGCCTGGAACCCGGGATGCACTAAACACCCTGCAGGTTTTGAGGCACCACATGAACTGGGTCCCCCGAGTAAGTTGGCAACACCTCTTGTCTCTTTCTCTGCCCATCCGCCTTTGCTATGAGTCATTATTGCCAGGAAATTTTGTCTCTTTACTACTAAGATGTCCAGGTATAGACTCATGGGTATAGAATCATGACTGGAAAGTTGGACCTATGTGGTGCTCTCGGGCATAAGTGCCTCTAGGTTGCTTTACAAGACTCCTGTTACTTGTTTTCAAGAAGGTCTCTGCTCAAAGTATTGGGTGCTGAGGCCCAGGGAAGTGGTTTTCCAGCCCAGTGGGTGTGGGACAGGGCAGAGATGAGTCAGGATGAAGGTGAAATTCTGAGGAAGGCAGATCAGGATCAGAAATGTTGGGAGGCTGGTGGTTCAGTGCACTGAGCTGTTCTTAGGGATGGGGGGTGGTGGAGTTTGATTCAGTTCACATTTTAATGTGAAACCATCTTAATTCAAACTACCCCAAACAACACACAAATTGAAACACACCCATACTTCAAAATTTACACACTTCTGAATTTTGCAATGCAGTTCTCTTACAAAAAATGTGTATTAAAAATGTGTATATTAGGGAAATGTGTGAATAAACTCTTTTTTAAAAATGCAGATTGATGTGGAAATGTGGCAGACTGAAATTAAGATAGCAAAATATGAGAAACTGAGCAAAACTGCTCTCTGTGAGAACAGCAGGTGATCACTGTGGGCAGACCCACACCATACATTTAAATCACACGAATCACCCCAAAACAGAATCCTGGGAATTGTAGCTTGCTATAGGTACTGAGGGGACACGGGTGGCGCTGTGGGTAAAACCTCAGCGCCTAGGACTTGCCGATCGTATGGTCGGCGGTTCGAATCCCCGCGGCGGGGTGAGCTCCCGTCGTTCGGTCCCAGCTCCTGCCCACCTAGCAGTTCGAAAGCACTCTTAAGTGCAAGTAGATAAATAGGTACCGCTTTATAGCGGGAAGGTAAACGGCGTTTCCGTGTGCTGCACTGGTGCTGGCTTGCCAGAGCAGCTTCGTCACGCTGGCCACGTGACCCAGAAGTGTCTCCGGACAGCGCTGGCCCCCGGCCTCTTAAGCGAGATGGGCGCGCAACCCCAGAGTCGGTCACGACTGGCCCGTACGGGCAGGGGTACCTTTACCTTATAGGTACTGAGAAATGTAGACCTGTGAAGGATAAATTCCCACAATTCTTTGGGGGAAGCTATGTGCTTGAAATTTGCATTTAGTGTGTTTTTAATGTATGTTTTGTAGCTGCCTTAAGATTAGAATTCCAATCTGCCGTGGTGAAGATGGATGTTTCATGGCACCTGAGTGTGTCAGCCACTGGTTCAGATGCAGAGACGTCCTCCCCCCATCCCGACCCCCACTGGCTGCTTCTGCTCTGAGAAAGTGGAAGGACAAGGCAGCCTCTGCATAAGATAGGTTGGCTTGCTGGCCACCCTTGCGCCTGGCAGCTGCCGCAGCAGCAGCAAGACTCCTTAACTGCTTGTGTGCTAATGCGAGCTGGCAAGCGGGTGTCCTTGGAGACACAAATCCAGGGCACTCTGAATGTGCCACAGCCTTCTTCAGCAGCTGGCAGTGGCACGTCCCCTTTGCAACCCCAGAGCAGAGAAAAAGCTGAGAAAACTGCTCTGCAGCCTGCGAGAGATATCTGTGGCGCCATGGGGTGGTCCAAAGGGTGACGAGGGGTTGCTGAGCAGTGGGGCAAGCTGCAGAGGAACAGCTTCATTAACCAGAAGTGGGTGATGAGCCATTTGGGAGTGGCGTGGTGGGGGAAGATTTAGTTGGCTGGGAGTCATTTTAATTTGCTCTTCATACACAGCATTAAATCTTAATGGGTATTTTATTGTTTCACCCTGTTATTGGGAGTTTTAAAAAGATGTTACTTCCCTGACTGGGAGGAGCTGAACTAGAAATCGGATAAGCCTGCACCAAACATTTTCCACTTAGATGCCACAAACCTGCAAGCTTTCCATGGTGTCATTTAAATCTGGCACCTACCACATAGCAGGACAGAGAAAATGTGTATTTTTTAGGATGGCGTAAACAACAAAATGCTTCTAGTTCAGCCTTGCCCAGTATGATGCCCTCCAAATGTTTTGGACTCCAACTCCCATGAGTCCCAGCTAGCCCACCTTGAGCTGACTGGGGCTGATGGGAATTGGGGACCAAAACATTTGGAGGGCATCCTGTTGGGCAATGACCCAGTCCACAAGAGAAAGAAGTGCAGAGAGGAGAAACTTGAACTCCAAAGTGTGCTAAAACTAAGAGGGTTTTGTTACAACTTAACAGGACAGGATCTTTCCTTTGGAGCAATCTTAAACTTTAAAACTCTGTAGAATAACTGAAACAGCTTGAACAAATATCCCTGCCTATCCTGAAGAAGGAAGCTGTGCCCCTAAAGCGGTGAACTATAATAATTCCTTTTGGTGGGCACTTGTGTATGAAAATATGCTTGTCCTTTTTGCCTACTTGCTGGTTTCTATGCCTTTCTCCTTCAGTCAGTCCCACCCTCTGTTGCTTTTAGGAGAAATTACACTCGAAGCAGTAATCACAGATTTCCCACGTAATGACCAGTTAGTTCTCAGATGCATGAATATGACAAAGACATCTTTCTCTGTGAAAGCTGCTGCCATGATTGATCTGTTAGTCTTTAAGGCGCTGCAGGATTCTTTGTCATTAAGGAGGGGGTCCCATCAGTCAGCCTACGTAAGGCTAAACAAAATACGATGTGGCAAATCCACAGTCAGGAGCCCCTACAGTCCCCACCTCTTCCACATGCAAAACAACAAGTTTGCCTCCAGACTATTTTGCAAGTGCAATTCAAGCACATAACAGAACTTTAAGTGGCGGCTAAATGTACAGAAGAGTGTGGGATGGACAAATGATTAACCATAAGGCAAGCTAAAGATGGAGGAGAAATTTAATTCAGTTTGTACTTAAAGGCAAACATCTAATTCATACTTTCTGAAACAATAACTTCTCTGAATTTCGCAGTGCAGTTCTCCAGCCAAGTAATATGTTCAAAAGGGCATATTTGGGGGGGGGTGTGCATAAAAATGCATGTATCTGTGAAAACATACAAAAATACATTATATTAGGGAAATTTGCATTGCAAACATATACATATTAGGCAAAATCGCATTGCAAAAAAGTGTATATTAAGCAAAACTGCATGAATTTTCATGACAACTAAGAAAAAGATCACATACTGATGTGCAAATGTGGAGAACTGAACTTAACTTTGGAAAGATGAGAAACTGACATATTCACTCATCCCAACCACAAGCAAATCAACATGAATGCTCTTTGTCATATGACCTCTCTGCAAACATTTCAGAACAAATGGTCAATAAATATTGAGCATAGTTTCACCTGGGACCTTCTTCATGCAAATCATGCTCTATTTTATTTGTTTCTTTGTTTAATTTGTATAGCACCCTTCATCTGAAGATCACAGGGCAGTTTACAATATAAAAACACAAAAATATACAGCATAGTATCAAACAAAGCACCCCCTCCCCACAGTTTAAAATGCCATAGAGAAGAGGAATGTTTTTGCTTAGCTCCTAAAGATATGTAACGAAGGCAGCAGGGAACCTCCCTGGGCAGAGCATTCTCCAAGCAAGGAGCCACCACAGAAAAGGCCTGCTCTTGTGTTTCCACCCTCTGGGCCTCTCATGGAGGAGGCACATGAAGAAGCGCCTCAGCCTTTCCCCATCAAGTGACTTGATAAATGCAAAGAAAATTAGCAAAGCCATATTCTTGTATAACTATCCTGGGGAGCAGTGGTAAACGTAAGATACTCCCAGACAGTGCAACACAACTAGGTTTGTGTGTGCACACATTGATTTTTTTAAAGAACAAATTCTGCATGAATTTCAGCTACTGGCACCGCAAACACACACTACTGCCTACAAATAACAAAACAAAACAAAATAAAATCTATCCCACTTGACAGATTGAAAATGGATTGTGGCCAATTTCATTAACAAGTCGAAAAGTCAGCATCCCTGTTGTATTTCTTGACATTCTCATTCTGCCAAGGTTCTGACTTCCACAAAGACATTGGGAAGTTTCCCGTGAATACGGCCAGCTCTCTGCCTCCTTTCTAGTTGTCCCTTTGCCCTCTGGGTTGAGTTTTGAAGTCACAGAAGCATTTGTACCACATCTGTGTTTTCTACTGGGGCACATGCAGCCTGGCTTTGAAATGTGTGTCATGGAGCATGCTTGCTCCTGCTCTCCCAAGGAAGCAAAGAAGCAGCGATGGCTTTAAAAGGGGATTGGACAAATTCATGAAGGCTGTCAGTGGCTACTGGTGGGCATATCCTGAGGGATATATTTTACCTCCACAGTTGGAGGCTATAACACTTCTGAACGTCAGTTGCTGAAAACTGCAGGAGGGAAAAGTGCTGTTGCACTCATATCCTGCTTGTGGCATCTGGTTGGCCACTGAGAATGGGATATTGAACTAGATGGGCCACTAGACTGATCCAGCAGACCCTTCTTAAGTTCTTAAAACTTGACTTATACGGAATGTGGACCACCTGGAAAGCCCTTATCGATGTAGGTATCCCACACAGGCCCATTCACGTTCAAATGCACTTTCCACGTGCATAGACTGGTTCACTGGTTCACATGGAATGTCACCCTGCCAGTAGTGCCCCTTCCTGGGTCACTGAATAAGCCATAGGTCCCAAGTGCAAGTACTGTAAAGCTTCACTGGCTTCCCGCTGGACCTTATGGGGCTAAGAGCTTATCCCTCTGTGTCCCATTTCAGCTTTGCAAGAAGACAAAACAAACAGCCTAACCCTGGGGGTTTTGTGCAGCAAGGGGTCAAGGTTTGCATGGGTCAGAAATGAGGTCTGATGCAAATCTTTCCTGAAAGATGCCAAGTTGTGAGTTGAGCTCTTATTTCAACCCTTTTTTAAAAGTCTCTCTCTCCTCCTCCCACCCCCTGCTATAGGGAGTTCAGCTGACCGTAGAGCAGTTTACAGTCCCGAAACAGCAAATCCTCAGTGACCTGAACAGTAAGTTGCCATTGCTGTGTATATTTAGGTTTGCCTCAGAGCCATGTCACATCGCTTTTTCACGTGTACGTCTCATATATATATATATTAAGTGTTCACGAGACTTGTGTGAATGCAACAGGCTATTATATGCAAATGCCTGCAGAAGTGCCCTCATCAGGCACTCAGGAATGGGTCCGGCTCCTGCTTGAGTGTCCTCTCAGACCAAACATTTAATGTGAGTGGGGTTTGATGGTCTGTTGGTTTGGCACAAGCAGTAAGAGAAGATGGAGAAAAGGCTCCCATGGGTGCTATTGAAAACTTTCTTCTGGATGCAGAGAGCAGCTTGGGGGTGGGGGAAATGTGTCAATGTCCGGAGAGTTTAAAATGTATAAACCAGTCTTCATTAAAGAATGGATTTCAGAGCAGTATATAAAACTGCATTACATAAATTTATTATCTGTATTTGTGTATTACCCAGTAACTGATATTCTGGGATTAGCTAACAATGAAATTTAAAACCACAAATATTAAAACAAGAGAACCATCAAAGCAGAATAAAGCAATCACAATGTGAATTAGAATAAGTAAAGCCAACAAGAGCGTAACAGCTGTACAGCATAAGAAGACATCTTCCTAGCTAGGCTGAAGAGGTGGGAATTGCCCCAGATTTAACAGGTGGTTCTTTTGTGTTTTTCAGATGTCAGCTGGACCATTGGCACCACCATCCACCTCCTGCTCAAGGGGAATGTCTATTCTGCCATGGATGCTTTGAAGGACAGAGTGCAAGGTAAGATCAAGACTTGTCTCAAGCTATTATGTTTTAACTCTCATAGGCCATGACATTGTGGCAGCTTTCTGCAACCTGGTGCCCTTGATGTGGCTTAGACTACAATTCCCATTAGCCATGCTCCCTTCAGCTGTAGCATCATATGACAGGAGTTGTAATCCAAGCCATCTGGAGGGCACCAGGTTGCGGAAGGCTGGTTGATGATGACACATCCTGCATGGTTTACACCTTCAGTTTACCAAATGATACCTGCAGTTCATGCATGATGAAAGCACAGAGTCACCCCTAAAAGGCTTGCATTAGAGGTGCCTGTCCCAAAGTGCAACTAAATAAAATAAAATAAAATAAAATAATCCTGTTTGGACAAATATAGTGATCTGTTGTAAAGGGGTTGCCTTTAAAGATGGTCAGGAAACTTCAACTGGTTCCAAGTCGTGGCCAGCAGAGTCCTGGTGGGTATACTGTGCTCAGCTTCAAGAATGGCTGTATTATAGAAGCTGCACTGGCTTCCAGCATGTTTCTAGGCCCGGTTTAGAGTGGTGGTGTAAACCTTTAAAGCCCTGAAGGGTTTGGGACGACTACCTGCACCCGTACCATCCTGCACACATACTGAGAGGTTGTAAAAACATAAGCAGAGCCTGCTGGGTCTGGCCAGTGACCCATCTAGCGCAGCATCCTGTTCTCACAGTGGCCACGCAGATGCCCAGAGATGCAGCTGCAGGGCCCTCCCCTCCTGTGATTCCCAGCAACTGGTATTCAGAGGCAGACTGCCTCTGAGGGTGAAGATGGAGGATCTGAACCGGACGCCCTCCTGGTGTGTCCACCTCCTGGGTCTAGGAGGGCACCTCTGGAACTGCCTCCCCGCAGAGCTGTGGTGAGTGCCATTCAGAGGGCCTGACAGACTCCTTTGTTTTCATTGGCTGCCTCTAAATAATGTTTTGTCTCATTCACTGGATGGAGATTACAGTATTATTCTGTTATATAGTTCTGAGCCTACTTCTGTTTTCACGAATCTGCTTTATTCCTGTTTTGAGCAATACTGACAGAAACACACTTGTAGTTCTTATTGTCATACGCCACTCTGGATGGACATACCCTGGAAAAATAGCATATTTATATGCTATTTATTTTGGAAAATAAGATAAACCAAGAGCGGAATTCACAACCTATTGTGAGCTAGGGTTGCCATCCGTCCTGTATAACACAGGATTGTCTCTTATTTCAATGTAAAATTCCTGTATTGATTCAATACAGGACACAGTTTGTCTTGCATTCCCCGTTTCCACTCTGCTGCTGCACGCACACTCTCTCCCTTTTCTCACTTCTTCCTTTTCCTTTTCCCTCCTCACTCCCTCTCCTCATCTCGCCCCCAAGGAGGATCCAGCCAGGGCAAGGCTTTCATGCTGCTGCTTCCAGTTCCCTGCAGCTTGGGCTGGGTGAAGGCGGCCATCTGCAGAGCTGCGCCCTGGGAGCGCTGGGCCCCGTCGCTCAGAGAGGAGCAGGCTCTGGGTCTCTAGAAACAAGAGGTTTTGTGCAGGTGTAGCCCAGAAACCCCTGTTCCGAACATTGTTATCCGCATGACATTTTTTGGGGGGGAAGAGTAGCTCCCCATATGGCTTGCCATCCCCCCTGTTCCCTAATATTTTTTTCTGTCCTTCAGAATTTAACGTGTGGAACAAAGCTCATCCCCCCCATCAGAATATGCTCATTTATTTTTTGCTCTGGCCTGCATGTATTGCTGTCCAGTACCATACATTACTGCATGTATGTGAAAGGGTGTGTGAAAGGTCACACCAGGTGGGAAAAGAACTTGCCCCCAACCTCCCGCTGCCTGCCTGCCGCTATCCTGTCCTGTATTTTGCCAGAACAAAGGTGGCAGCCCTAATGTGACCTTTCTCTTTAAGACCTACAGAACTCACTGCACCATTTGCAGACTCTCAACAAGACTGTGCAGGCCCTGATCCAGCAACAAGATGAGCTGGAAGCAGCCCTGAAAGACAGGAAGCAAAGCCTCACTTTCCTCCTGGAGGATCCAGGCTGCATCTATTGCGCTGGTGCCCTGAGCCAAGCTCAGAGTCTGGAGCTGGGCGCTAACTACCGCAAAGTAAGTTCACCTCCAGGATGGAGACTCTTGCTCCAGTACAAAGGTGCCTTTAAAAGGGCAACCTGTACTTCAGTGCATTTCTGATGAGCAAAATAAACACAGCTGTGTCACTTCTTTTGATGCACAAAAGCTTGTACACTATAGGATTTGGGCCAGTAACAGGTGTTCTGTTGCCTCTGCTGTATTTCTTTAGGTCATTTATAGACTTGAATCCATGTCACATTTCCTTTAGCTGTGTTGAGAGTTCATGTTTCCTGTCCAGAAGTGTGCTTTCTTCTTCTAGGATGGCAGTTGTCAAGGCTAACTGCAGGGACCTCTTTAATGAAGCACAAGCTTCCACACCCAGCTTGGCCATCAGCCCCACACTTCACACTAATTTCAGTAGCTGATGGTGCACAGAACTGTGGGTTTCAGAGTCAACGTTTTGGCACAGGGGAGATCTGTGATTGGATCTCCCAAGTCTTTTTTGAAAAAGGGGGAATGCATGCAGCCCTCCAATGTGGATTGAGGCAATGTACTGACCTGCATGGTATGTTTCCCCCCATGATGGAAATAGCAGCTCCATATGTGTGTGCAAAAGGGTAGTCACTTCCTGTCAATGCTGCTACCAGGGCCGGCTCAAGAAATTTTGCTGCCTAAGGCCAAGGGCAAGATGGCAGCCTCAAACCCCAAGGCATAGACAGAAGCCAGTTGGACTGGTGGTTGACTCTTACTCCAATACAGGTGAAAGGACAGCGTCTTCCACTGCATTTGAGGGCAGCAGGCTACTGTAAGGGGTACAGGGCAAGCCACACGGCACTCACAGCTCTGCACCTCGGCATCTGTCACTGGAGGCAGCTGCCTCACCCTTCCTCATCACAGGGCCAGTCTTGGCTGCTACCCAGTCTGATTTTAATGGGGATCTGCTGCTGCATTTATCCCTTTAAAAACACACACAAAATATCTGATCATAGACCTGCCACCATCTTCTCCAGTTGCACCCTTGTTTTCTACACAATGGCTGCGGCCCTCCAGATGTTGTTGGCCAACTCCCATCAGCCCCAGGCAGCATGGCCAAAGATTACGGATTGTGGGAGTTGAGATCCAGCAACATGTGGAGGGCCACAAGTTCTCCACTCCTCCTCTAGGTCACAGGCTTCCCCAACCTGGTGTAGGAGCTACTGGGGAGGTGGAAATGGGAAGAGGGATGCCTCTTACCAGTTGAGGAGGCTTCAGGAACCTGGTGTCCTCCAGGTCTTTTGGTCTACAATGATGTGCTGGCTGGAGCTGATGGAGTTGTAGTTCAAAACATCTGGACGGCACCAGGTTATGGTTATAACTGTAGATAAAGCTCTGAATTTTCCATGGGCAGGGGGGAATACAACTAATTGAAATGCACACAATTTTCACTTTCTTCTCTACTTCCAAGCACTTGTCTTTTATCGGTGGTTTGTTCCCTCAGGTACCTTCAGTAGAAAAGGTTTTGAAGACCTTGCATGGGCTTCCCAAGGCTAATTTCTCTGAAATGATTCGCCGGGTAAGTAGTTAAAGAATCTTGGAGCAAGAAGAGAGACGTCTGCTTGTTCTTTAGCAAAATTCACACTTGGCCCAATGTGATAAGACATTTTGGTTTCTGTGCTTCTAGGCCAATAGCAGCTTCAACTCTATCCCGGGACTAGCTCTGGTGAAGATGGCGGATGTTGTTCAAGGTGAGTTAAGCCCTTCCATGCTCATGCTGAGGGTGAAGGGCTGTAGCTCAGTGGTAGGGCATCTGCTTTGCATGCAGAAGGTTCCATATTCAGTCCCTGGCACCTCCAGCTGGGGCTGGGGAAGACTCCTTCCTTGAAGCGCTGGAGAGCTGCTGCTGCCAGCCAGGGTGGACAATGCTGAGCCGGATGGACCCAGCAGGGGGCAGCTTCCTCTGTTTCCCATGCTAGGCTGGAGGCTGTAATTCCACTGTATGGTGTAGGTTCATCTAGCCAGGGCTTAATTTGAATAGGGGGCATTGGGGTGTGGTGCCAGGCTTGCTTTTCATGCCAGTGCCCAGCCCAGGAACGTGTGACAAGAAACCACAAACCTGATGTTCCGCACTTGCCTTGCAGAGCTCAAGGAGGAAATAGAGAAGGCCGGCCAAAAGTTGCAGTCCATCCCAGACGACTTTCCGATCTCAGATCACACCCGTCCCATGAATGATGCTCTGGTGAAGGCTGAGAACAAGAGCCGGCCCTATTTTTTGGAGGCAAAACGTTACGAGACATACAGGTAAAATGGAGCTCTGTGCTTTGCACGCAGGAGGAACAGCATTCTCCTATGCATCCTTTTGACCCATCCTCATGCCAATCTGCTTCTCATTCTATCCCTCCGGTCTGCTCATCAAGTTCAGCCATTATGCTGTAGTGGTTAGAGTGAGACCCAGGTTCAAATCTCTGCTCAGGCACAAACCTTGGGATGGCCACTGTCTCTCAGCTGAACCTACCTCACAGGGTTGTTGTAAGGATAAAATGGAGAGGGAGAGCCCTTTTATGCCACCCATCTTGAGCTTTTTTGGAGGAAAAGTGGGAGATAAAAGTAATAATAAAGATAATTTTTAAAATCTTTTGGCCAGTTAATTGCTCACAAAAATACTTTAAAAATCATAATGGCAATACTTAGCATGCATAGAGTGCTCAAGAACATTTAAAGCACTTCAGTTACATTTATGTATGTATGTAAAGCTCTACGATGCCTTTCTGCCAAAACATGGCTTCCACAAATCATAAAAAATAATCAATAAAATACAGTAATACACAAAGGAGATTTAAAAACACACATACAGTTCAAAGCAGAAGTGCAAGTGACCAGGAGAAGCTGTTTAAAACAGCAGTGCAATTAACTAATCACAAGGGCCAATACAAACCAACAGTGACAGAATAAAAAACTCAACATAAGCAGCAATGAAAGGCTTATCACTGAAGGCTTGGGGAACAGGTCAGACTTCACCTGGCCCCTGATAACAAGAGATGCTTCATCAATGGATCCTGTTCTGTGGCTGAGCCACATCTCTTATAGCAGGGCTGGGGAAACTGTGGCTCGCCAGGTGCTGCTGGACTGCATCTCCCATCATCCCTCTCCGTTGGCCGTGCTGCTTGGAGCTGATGGGAGTTGAAGGCCAACAACATCTGGAAGGCCAGGAGGAGGAGGAGGAGGAGGAGGATTTTCATTTAGGAACAGCTTCTATTGCAAAATGGCTTCTAAGCAGTTTACAAATATAAAACCAATACTGTAAACAATTAAAATGCACAATCTCAAATAAACAGGGGCATTCAGATGTCCTTAATAAAACAGATAATATTAAAAATAACACAAACAATTAAAAAGCATAACAGAGCTTTTAAGAAACCATCTGTAACAATAAAATCAGAAGTTCATTTATGGAGAGCCCCTTACTTACAAGCCACCCAGTAGAATCCAGGTCTGTGGGCAACAGGATGTACAGTGGATTTTTGTTTGCTTATCTCCCCCAAGCCTCACTGATGTGTCCCCACCCCATTTTTCTGTCCTCAGGTGGCTTGCAGGTGTCATTGCCTGCACCGTCGTCTTGCTGATCGTCTTCTGCAACTTCCTGGGGCTTTCCTTTGGCACATATGGGCTGGTCTTGCGAGAGGATCCCAGTGACTATGAGAGGAGGGGAGAAGCTGGAGCCAGATTACTCTTAATGTAAGACACGTCTGAGTCCTGGGCATGTCTGAGTCCAGCACAGAGGGTTGATTCCAAACTCTGTTCCAGGGTGACAAGGGATCCTTCAGGAGGAAGGGTGGGATATAAATTCAATAAATAAGAAAAATAAAAGATTAGTGTTCAGCAACGATACAAGAGAGTGTTCTTGTGGTGGGGAGGAGGGAGGGAGGGTGGTCAGTCAGAACTCAGTGGTCAGTATGGCCATCCACAAGTGCTTGCCTTGACCTTCAGGGGATCTAGTCTGAGGGTGCTCTGAAAATGGTCAGTGTTTGAAAAAATATGTCTATGAGGAGAAATTTGCACTCAAATGCCGGTGGACATTCATGTGATTTTTGATTTTTTTAAAAAAATTGCAACCTGATTCAGAGATGTGGAGAACTGTTCTTAATAGGAGGGGGAGTGTTGAGACTTGCAGGACTTTCTCCCTGTCTTTCCTGTTACAGCGGTGTCATCTTCAGCTTCCTCTTCTCCTGGCTACTGATTCTCTTGGTCTTCGGCACCTTCCTGCTTGGGGGAAACGTCCAGACCTTGGTGTGCAAGCACTGGGCCAATCAGGAGATCTACAAGGTGAGTTTGTGTGTATGGAAAAGCAGACAATCTGCCCAAGAGTTGCAGGGAAAAGATGCCACTGTTATACGGTGGTTCCGCTCCTCCCTCCTGGGCCGTGTTCAGAAAGTGGGGGGGGGGGGAGGATGAGTGTTCAGACCCCTGGGCCCTCACTTGTGGGGTGCCTCAGGGTTCCGTCCTCTCACCCATGTTTTTAACATCTACATGAAGCTGCTGGGAGAGATCATCAGGGGGTTTGGGCTGGGTGTTCATCAGTATGCAGATGATACCCAGCTTTACCTCTCTTTCAAATCGGAACCAGTGAAGGCGGTAAAGGTCCTGTGTGAGTGCCTGGAGGCGGTTGGAGGATGGATGGTGGCTAACAGATTGAGGTTGAATCCTGACAAGACAGAAGTACCATTTTTAGGGGAGAGGGGGCGGGCTGGTGTGGAAGACTCCTTGGTCCTGAATGGGGTAACTGTGCCCCTGAAGGACCAGGTGTGCAGCCTGGGAGTCATTCTGGACTCACAGCTGTCAGTGGAGGCACAGGTCAATTCTGTATCCAGGGCAGCTGTCTACCAGCTCCACCTGGTATGAAGGCTGAGACCCTCCCTGCCCGCAGGCTGTCTTGCCAGAGTTGTGCATGCTCTTGTTATCTTCCGCTTGGACTACTGCAATGTGCTCTACGTGGGGCTACCTTTGAAGGTGACCCGGAAACTACAACTAATCCAGAATGCGGCAGCTAGACTGGTGACTGGGTCCTGAGAGACCTACATTGGGTCCTGAGAGACCTACATATAACACCGGTCCTGAGAGACCTACATTGGCTCCCAGTACGTTTCCGAGCACAATTCAAAGTGTTGGTGCTGACCTTGAAAGCCCTAAACGGCATCGGTCCTGTGTACTTGAAGGAGCGTCTCCACCCCCATCATTCAGCCCGGACACTGAGGTCCAGCGCCGAGGGCCTTCTGGCAGTTCCCTCACTGCAAGAATTGAGGTTACAGGGAACCAGGCAGAGGGCCTTCTCGGTAGTGGCACCCGCCCTGTGGAATGCCCTCCCAACAGATGTCAAGGAAACAACTATCTTACTTTTAAAAGACATTTGAAGGCAGCCCTGTTTAGGGAATTTTTTAATGTTTGAAGTTTTATTTTGTTTAATATTTTGTTGGGAGCTGCCCAGAGTGGCTGGGGAAACCCAGTCAGATGGGCAGGCTATAAATAATAAATTATTATTATTAATTATTATTATTCTAGTTGATTGGGTGGGGTTAATTTCATAGCCTATGTCGTGCTCCCATTGTTCTTTGATTTCTGTGTACGGAACATAGGAAGCTGCCAAAACCTGAGTCAGCCCATTGGTCCACCTCTTCCCCACTGTCTGCACTCACTGGGGGCTAATCCACACTTACCTTTCCTCTACTCTTTCCAGGCACACTCCATGCTTTAAAGATCGTCCTTTCCCCATGAAAGCTGTTCTTTAAATTTCAATCAGAGCAAACAGCAATCCACAGAAAACCCAAATTGATGTTTGCTTTGATTAATGCTAAAGAGTGGGTTTTTGTTGCGTAAAAAAATAAATAAATTGCTGTGGCCTGGGAAGAGTGTGGCAAGAGGCAGGTGTGGATAAGCCCTGGAAGTGGCTCAGCCCTTCCTGGAGATGCCAGGCATTGAATCTGGAACCCTCTACCTGCAATTCAGATGCTTGTTTTTGATCAGGGAAGTGGCCTTGGCAGTTGGGTTGAACTCGCTCCCATGTTGCAGCAATGCCCTCCCCTGAGGCTTGCAGATCAAGACTTGTTAATGTCAAAGAATAAAAATCTAACAAGGTCGATCTCCCCTGCCTGCTAATTCTCATTAGTAAAGAAACCAATGTGCTCTTGCACCACATCCATTAATTCGGGGGGGGGGGGGTAGTGTTGCAAAAGAACTTCCACAGAGATTTTAGCTCCTGTGCCCAATCAACCCAGTTCTCATTCTGCTTCTTTCAATGCAGAAGTTTGGAACCTCAGGTTTGTGGGCCTATTTTCCTGGCCCTTGGAAGTCTCCTCAGGCCACACCATTTACTGCTCCCACTTTGCATTACTTGCTGGACTGGAATGTGTCTTTAAACTCTGGTGTTGTTTCTTGATTGTCTGGATGAAGGACAGAGAGGGGTTTTTCCCCACTGATGTAACAAAGCTGCAGAAGCTTCTGGGGGGCTGGATCAGGAGGGCAGGCAAAAAACTAGTTCCCCTGGCAAATACCAGTTGTTGCCCAACCCACAATTGCCTGTTGATGCTTAACCTGCACTGTTGTAGCCAGTTGCTCCCTGAAAATGGCTCTCCTTCTGCATTAGTGAGGCTGGGAACCCCATTCACAAAAACTTGCCATCCTATCCATGCTTAGCTCAGGATTCCAGCCTTTGCTGAGCACAAAGTTCTGCGCAGCCGAGATTGGCCTTTCCTTTCCTCCTCCCTCTGGCTTTCTCTGTGTGTCACCCAGGAGAAGGTGCCTGCCACGCTGTGTAGAATGATCCAATTAAGCTATATCTTGGCCCTCTTCATTCTTTCGCCCTCCGGCACAACGGGCACAAGGAGACCATGCCAATGAATTAATTAAATCTCATCAAATAACAATTAACACTTGATCTGCATCTAGAATGGAAGTGCCTGCCACTGCCTTTCAGCCAACTGCAGGAAGAGGGTGGAGGGAAAGAAGCAGGCCAGGGCTTCCTTTTGTACTTAGAACTCACAAAGTGGAGCAGAGATATCAGATTACTGTCAGCATGGCCAAAACTCTCCCAGGCAACCCTGCTCAGTAAATCCTTTGTACTGTACTTGGAAAAGTGCTACAGTAATGGCGAAAAACAGCAAAGAGTCCCGTGGTACGAGAGACACTGTCATTTATACAGGCGTAAGAAACCTTCTTGAGCCCAAGAGCTGTATTTCCTTCTGGTCAAGCTTTGGCAGCCCACGTCCAGTGACGGGCAGTGCCAGAGGCAAAAGCGGGCAGAGCAACAAATGGGCATGTTGCCTTTGCCCAGTAGGCTCGTTTCTACGCACACCCCTCTCTCTCCTCCACCCAGGCAAGGAAGAGGCATGATCAGTTCCAGGACACCTTTCAGCCAAGGCAAGAAAGGAGGGTGTGAAGAAGGACCGGAAAGGGTTGGGGAGAGTAGGAGCGGCCTGAGCAGAGTTCAAATGTCCAGGAGGGCTGCATTTGGTCCCCTGGCCTGAGGTTCCCAACCATCAATACATAGATATTTAGTTCAAAAAATTCACCTTCAAAGGTAGCTCCACGTAGAGCGCATTGCAGTAGTCCAAGTGGGAGATAACCAGAGCATGTACCACTCCGGGGAGACAATGTGCAGGCAGGCAAGGTCTCAGCCAGGAAAGGTCTCAGCCGGCATACCCAATGGAGCTGGTAGACAGCTGCCCTGGACACAGACTCAAGATCAAATTCTTGCATATGTAGAACGGGTATTATGTGGGACCTGTGGCAGTTCCAGTTCCACACATGCAAGCGGCCAAGTGGGTATATATGGGGTGAGGTGATCTCACAGGTAAATTGGCCCCAAGTTGTTAAGGGCTTTCTGTACTAATAGTAACACCTTGAATGTTGTCCAGTAGCAAATTGGCAACCATTGCAGCTCTCTGAGCACAGATATTATATGCTGACAAGGCCTCACTCGTATTTGGCATAAGATTTTGTGGACCAGATCTCATCTCATCAGATGTAAACACAGTTGGTGCACGAGGATGACTCTCTCAGGAGTTTGTGGGAAACTTTGTGGGCCGGAAACAGAGAAGATTCAGATTAGGTTCTGCTGTGGAAGGAGATGTGGCTACATATGGCTCCTGTCCCAAAGGCCAGAAGCGCCGTCCAAGTCCTTTGGCAGGAGTAGGCCAGGCCAGTGGGCAGCAGGAGCTCAACCAGGCATGGTCTTCTCCAAATAGGTGTTCTTGCAGTCAAGGGCTGGAAGAAGCAGGAGGACACACTGTTGTGGGCCTCTAGAACTAGCTGGAAAAGGGATTTCTAAGGCTCATCCCTGCCCTGGTCTGTTAGCGTTAATTGGCTCTAAATGATGTTTTGCTCCTCTTTCCATTCTCCAGTTCATCGACATGCCTGGCAACTTGCCTCCTTCCATGAATATCACTGAGCACCTTGGCCTGAAGAAGAGCCTCAAGATCACTTCTGCTTATCAGTGAGTGTACCTGCTGTCAGGCTACCCAGGGGGCATTTGAGTACACAGGACATTTGGGGCTCTGTCCTTGCTTCCTACCGAGATGACTCTAGAGCAAGGCCAAGAGCGTTGTTGATCCTAAGGAGCTAAAATTAAGGCTCCTTTGAGCAATACTAATCCACCTTCTGTTTTGTGGTTTAGCAGGCAGGATTTGTTTGTTTGTTTAAGCATTTTCTGCTTTCCTTCTTGGAATGTTTGTGCGTTGCTGAGTGGTTCCCTGTAAATAAGTTTGCCACATCTCCAGATGTGATGTGATTTGGAGAATGGTACCCATGTTTTTGAAAAGCGATGTGAGCAACAGCTAAGAACACATTGAGTGGGATGGAACTATCAAGCAAGCCAGCAATATTGTGGGATGCTGAAAGGGGAGGGAGGCCAGGTTGACCTGTTTCCACTCCTTATTTCAGGCAATGTAAGAATGGGGCTGGTCTCTGGGAGGTTCTGCAGCTGGAGGACAATTACACCCTTGACAAATATCTCCAAGTTTCCAAGGTAAGAAGGTTCCTCTGCTGAACTTACATCTCTTCTTCTCCCACTCAGTCACAGAGCCTCCGTGTCATCACAAATCTTCAGGTGACTGTAGCAGCTCTCATTGCTGACAGCTGCTACAAGCACCGTCTTGGCTCCTCTCATAGCACTACTGTTGTCCCCATGCCTGTTGGCTCATCCCGCCTTTTTTTCTTTCTTTCTCCTTCCTCGCTGCTGCTGTACAACAAATCCAGACACCACTAGAAGGCAAGTGAGTGAAATAGTGGGTGGTCCCAGTACTCAGGAATGTCTCCCGTGTGAAATGGCTGTAAGATGGAGCCCTAAAAAAACCTTAGTTGCACTCTGCCCTCAAATTATGTCACTAAAGTAAATTGCGCAGATTTTCCCAGTTGGCATGCATTTGTTTCAAGCTGCATAATTGCAGTATTTGGGAAAATTTGGATTTTTGTTGTTTGGCGTTAAACAAGCAAACAGGAAACCTCCCCATGTACTCATCCCATAGAACACCAGAGGTGTCAGATCTGGCTATGATGAGTCACGCCTCTGTTTACATCTCAGTCAGGTTGCAGCAACAGGTTCCTCATGAGGCTGCCACTGAAGATCATTCAGGCATTTCAGCTGGTTCAGAAAGTGCAGCCAGGATGTGAACTTGGGCAAGTTATAGGAAGCGCATGCCTGCTAAGTAGGGCTGGCCCTACCATTAGGCAGAGTGACGCAGTTTCCTTTGGTGTCTGTTCCTCTTGAACCCCTGGCCAGTCTCCTCTGTTGAACACCAGGCGTCTGTGTGCCACAAGAGTAAGTCCAGACATCTCATTTCCATGCAGAATTTTAAAGGAAAATCCATTTGAGATGCATGCGGAAACACACGGTTGCAGTTATTTATCCAAAGTACTTATGAGGTGGTCCAAAGGCTACAATGCTGCCTCCATTTGTATAAAATGCTTTCTCCCCTTTTAAACTTTTAAAAGTAGTTAATCCAGCCACCCACAGCCTGGAGCGCCAGCACACAGGGATTCTTGCTGCCATAGACTTAGCACACAAATGCAGGAAGTGCCCCTGGGAGCAGCTTGATTGTGTTCCATCACTCAGGGGGGATTGTATAGGAAACAACAGGGCTGCCCCCATGTTTCTTCTGTACAATTACTGAGTGCCATTTTTGCATATTATCTTATTTTTATATGGTTTTATTGTTTTTTGTTTTTTATTCAAAATTATAACAAGACATATTATCCAAAAACATATCATCCCTGTCCCCCCTCATTTTTCCTCCCTCCCCCCTCCCACACAGAACCCCCCCCCCGACTTCCCTCAGTTCCAGTCTTTGGTTTCTCTAAGAATGCTGTTTTCTGCATGTTACAAAGTTGTATAGATCCTCAAACTATTTAGCTGATTATTATCAATAAAAAGTTTGTGAATGTTTATTCAAAACCTGCCAAGGAGTCCAGTTCGCTTTGTTGCGTCTTCAGATACTTTGTAAAGAGTTCCCATTCATCCTTAAAGTCACAGTTATCCTTGTATAGGGTTTTATTGTTAAGGTTATTTTGATTCTTCTTATTGATCATGCATTGCATTTTATTGTTTGTCACCACGGGCATAAAAAAATATCAAATACAAGGTTTAAATGTAATCAGTAAACAAACACTTTGTTTTGTTTGACCAAAAATGAACTTTGGGACTGCCCCCGCCCCCTCAGATAAGCCACTTCTTCTTGCATAGTTTATTAATTCTGACCACAAAACCAAATTTTGGTTTAATCTATGCATAATCTCTGAACGTAATTCAAGGTTCACTGAAACTACTCCCATGAGACTTGGACTCAAATTAGATGTTATGAAGCGTCCTGTGATTCTTTCCTCCATTTAAAAAACAACCAAACCCTAACACTCAAAGCAAGCTCAGCAAGGTGCAAGTCTAAGCAAAATAAGGAGAGGCTGCATAACCTATTCCTTTTTAGTCCAAGATGCTTTCTCAGTTGGATAAACATTGGTTGTATCCAGTGCTAGTTACACTCAGAGTAGACCCATTGAAAGTAATATACATGGCTAGCTATGGCCCATTAATGTCAACGGGTCTACTCTGAGTAGAAGTTAGCAAGATGCAGTCCTTGGGGTTCCTGCATTTTTCTCCTCATGGGTAAAAATAGCAGCTTGGGAGGGTCCTTCTGAGCTGGAAAATGACGGGAGGGAGAGGAGTAAGGAGCCTCTCCCTGCCTAGACTTTCCCCACTCAAACCTTTAGATTATCTAAGCCAGGCTTCCTCAACCTCGGCCCTCCAGATGTTTTGAGACTACAGTTCCCATCATCCCTGACCACTGGTCCTGCTAGCTAGGGATCATGGGAGTTGTAGGCCAAAAACATCTGGAGGACCAAGGTTGAAGCCTGATCTAAGCTGTTTTGGGTTAAGAAAAGAAAATTGTAGGAGAGCATATAGAATGGAGGGTTGGGAGGCTGGAGCTGGCCAGCAATAATCCAGTACAATTGCATCTTACATAAGGGTTATGTTCCATGGATGGGGCATCTATGCAAAAACATTATACTTGAGCCACCCTCTTGGAACCATCCCCATGTGACTATCCTTATCTTTCCAGGGCTGTGCACCAAGCAGGTTCTTGCCCCCTTGCGTATCGGGCTTTGGGGTGCTCTCACAAGATCTTGTGGGGCTTCTGAGTTCCTGTGAGAGCCTCACAGGCCTACTAAGCAAGGCAGAGAGCTTCAAAGCTCTTTCTATACCAGGGAAACTCTCCACCGTCCATGCTTTAATTTGTGCAATTTCAACCAGCTGGCCTATAACCATGTAAGGTCAAAATCGCACGAGTAAGTTGCAATTGTTCTGTACAAAAAAATGCAGTATATAGGAAATAAAAGAAGTAAGAAAAATGAAATTAAAAATCATACAGCATCTAGCACAGCATGTTAGAATTTCTGCAACAGGCAGAAGAAAACATTGAGCGGTCTGCCAAGACCCTCAGCAATTTTCAAGAGGTCCACGGTGGGGTAGAGTTTGAGAACTTCTAGCCTAGGATAGTCCCCTCTGCTGCTTGCTGCCCTCACCTGGCCCTTGAAGGGCATGCTTTGCTCCCTGGGTTACAGGAAGCTGTGGAGAGGTGGCAGGAGACTCAAGCAAGCACTCATGGGTTGCAGTGGAGCCTACCTTGATTCTGCTCTTTGGGATTTTGGATTCCCTTTTGGATTTAAGTCATGGTGCTCACTTACGCCACCTTCTCGCCTTTTGCTCCAGTACACTGCAGAGTTTCAGAAGCGCTTGGACAATTTCAATATCCGCTTTGAAGACATCGTCCTGTTAAATGCAGAAGGGAAGAAGGACCTGGAGACTTTCCGAGACAGCAGGATTGACCGGGTAGACTATGCAAGCTTCAGAGCAGAGGTGAGAAGGAGTGTATGGGAAGCAAAAGCCTTATCTGTCTCTTGTTTCTTCCTTCTTTTAAAAAAAATAATATTTATTACTTTTCCAAAAAAAATTAAACACTGAAAAGAAAAAGAAAAACAAAACAATACAATACATTAAACTAACAAAACAAAACAAAAACAATAAAATAAATCAAACAATTTCATTATCCCATCTTTCATTCACTTATTTCCACGACCTCCTCACACCTCCCTTTTTGTATTCCACTTCTGTTAATTATTTCAGCAATTCCTTTCCATCTTCCTCTGTTTTCTATCCTATAATTATCTTAACTCATTCTAACCTTATTTTTTCCTTTAATACTCTATTAATCTATTTATACTTAATTCCTTATAACATTTCTACTAAAGCCATGTAACTTCATTCCAACATTTTTCTAACATTCATTGATTTTACAATATTTCTGTAAATAATCTTTAAATTTTTTCCAATCTTCTTCCACCGACTCTTCTCCCTGGTCTCGGATTCTGCCAGTCATTTCCGCCAATTCCATATAGTCCATCAACTTCATCTGCCATTCTTCCTGGGTGGGTAAATCTTGTGTCTTCCAATATTTTGCGATGAGTATCCTTGCTGCTGTTGTTGCATACATAAAGAAAGTTCTATCCTTCTTTGACACCAATTGGCCGACCATGCCCAGGAGAAAGGCCTCTGGTTTCTTCAGGAAGGTATATTTGAATACCTTTTTCATTTCGTTATAAATCATCTCCCAGAATGTCTTAATCCTTGGGCATGTCCACCAAAGGTGAAAGAATGTGCCTTCAGTCTCGTTACATTTCTAACATTTATTATCGGGCAAATGATAGATTTTTGCAAGCTTGACTGGTGTCATGTACCACCTATAAATCATTTTCATTAAGTTTTCTCTTAAAGCATTACATGCCGTAAATTTCATACCTGTGGTCCATAACTGTTCCCAGTCAGCCATCATTATGTTATGTCCAACATCTTGTGCCCATTTAATCATAGCTGATTTCACTGTTTCATCCTGAGTATTCCATTTCAACAGCAAGTTATACATTTTTGACAAATTCTTAATTTTGGAATCTAACAATTCTGTTTCCAATTTTGATTTTTCCACCTGGAAACCAACTTTTTTGTCCAAATTGTATGCCTCCATTATTTGATAATAATGGAGCCAATCTCGCACTTTATTTTTCAATTTTTCAAAGCTCTGCAATTTTATTCTGTCTCCATCTTGATCCAGAATTTCCCAATATTTCGGCCATTTGGCCTCCATATTGAGTTTTTTCTGTGCCTTCACTTCCATTGGAGAGAAACATCTTGGGGTTTTCTTTTCTAACAAATCTTTATATCTTATCCAAACATTAAACAGTGCTTTTTTAACAATATGATTTTTGAACGCTTTATGTGCTTTGACCTTATCGTACCACAAATATGCATGCCAACCAAATACATTATTGAAACCTTCTAAATCCAACACGTCAGTGTTTTCAAGAAGCAGCCATTCTCTCAGCCAGCAAAAAGCTGCTGATTCATAATAAAGTTTGAGGTCTGGCAGGGCAAATCCACCTCTTTCTTTAGCATCAGTTAATATCTTAAATTTTATTCGAGGCTTCTTGCCCTGCCAAACAAATCTGGAAATATCTTTCTGCCACTTCTTGAAACAATCCATCTTGTCCAAAATTTGTAATGTTTGAAACAAAAACAACATCCTTGGCAGCACATTCATTTTTATCACAGCAATTCGGCCTAACAATGATAACTTCAAATTTGACCATATTTCTAGATCCTTTTTCACTTCTATCCAACATTTTTCATAATTATCCTTAAATAGATTCACATTTTTGGCAGTCATGTTAACCCCTAAATATTTCACTTTCTTAACCAGTGTTAGTCCTGTCTCTTCCCGAAACTTCTCTCTCTCATTCACAGTTAAATTTTTCTCTAAAACCTTAGTTTTCGTCTTATTCAGCTTAAAACCTGCTACTTGTCCAAATTCTTGAATCAGTTCCAATACTCTTTTTGTACTGGATTCTGGCTCCTGTAAGGTCAATACTAAATCATCAGCAAATGCTTTCAGTTTATACTGTTTAACTCCCACTTGTATACCTTTAACCTCTTGGTCCTTTCTTATCATGTGTCTCTTGTTTCTTCCATCAGTTGCTGAGAATATTATTTGGGGATGCTTTGAATACTTGAAAATAATACAATAGCAATGCTAAGTATTACTCTTACTGCTACTCTTTTTTTCCTAGATGCACAACCCTGTGGTGAGGACAAACATTCAAGATTTGGCAGGGGAACTTGAGAGACTTAGCAGGGTTCAGGTAGGTATCCTCAGCTTCACTGAGGCCTCATCTGCACTGGACCTTTAAAGCAATATTTCAACACTTTAAGCAGTTACGACTTCCCCCCAAGAATACTGGGAACTGTAGTTTGTTATGGGTGCAGAAAGATGAGAAGACTGGAGGGGGGGCCTGGTAAAGATGGCAGTTTAAGTTTTTTACCTCACTTCCCCAAGCACCCTTGCCCTCTATCCAATCTGAACTATTGGTGTTCCCTGCAGAACGACAGAGCCCTGTTAGAACGACTCACTGAGGAAGCTGGGAAGCTCAAGGAAATTCAGAATACGAAGGTCCTCACAATGGAGGACCTTGTGGTAAGTACAACATGTCACAGAAGAGAACCCCACCCTGGGCCCCTGCTGAAGACGTCCTCGGTTTTCAGGCTTCAAGCTGAGGATGTGCTGAACCCCTGAACTGAATCTTTTTCAGCCTTCCTTGAAATTCCTCAACAGTTTACTTGATTACACTCCCGCTGCCACTGCCCCATGTTTGCTGCAAATTTAGCTTTAGCAAATATTTGTAGCTTCTTCATTGTTGCTTTTATCATTGTCAGCCTAGTACAGGTGAGCACTGGCTATTTTCATTGCATTTATATCCCACCTGCTTCTCCATGGAGCTCAGGGTGGCACGCCTGGTTCTCCTCCACATTTAATCCGCACAACACTCTGTGAGGTAGGCTAGGCTGTGAGGCACCGACTGGCCCAAGGTCACCCTGTGAGCTTCATGGCTGAGTGAGGATTTGAACCCTGGTCTCCTAGGTTTTAGTCCAACACTCTAACCACTGCACCACACTGGCTATAGGTCAACAGCATACACTCCAACATTTATCTGATGCAGATAGGGACATCCTATTCTACATCAGGAAGCTTCTCCCCTGTTTGATCTCACTGCACACATAGATATCCTATACACGTCTACATTGGTCACCTTGAGCCAACCTACTTCAAAGGATTGTTGTAAAGAAAAAATGTGTGAGGGAAGGTATCATGTACAACACCTTCAACAGATAAAGGCAATGAATTAAAATTTTAGCTGTAGGGTGCCTTGAGTCCCTGTCAGGGAAAAGGAATGCAGTGGTACCTTGGGTTACATACGCTTCAGGTTACATGTGCTTCAGGTTACAGACTCCGCTAACCCAGAAATAATTACCTCGGGTTAAGAACTTTGCTTCAGGATGAGAACAGAAATTGTGCTCCGGTGGCAGCAGGAGGCCCCATTAGCTAAAGTGGTGCTTCAGGTTAAGAACAGTTTCAGGTTAAGAACAGACCTTCAGAACGAATTAAGTTCTTAACCCGAGGTACCACTGTAATAATAATGAAAACTGTGAGACTGACCAGGAACATACCAGAGAGTAAATCCTCCTGAACCTAGTGGGACGTACTTCTGAGTAAAAAGGATTGCAGTGTAAGGCTGCACTGCACAGTCTTTACCCACCCAGTCACCTGGGAGTAAGCTCAATTGAATACAATGGGACTTACTTCTGAGTAGACAGTGTAAGGCTCCATTTACAATATAGGAATAAACATTCCACACATATCCTAAAAAATGGCTGGCTGCTGAAGCATTGCAACTGAAGAATCTAAAGTGGATTGGGTACATTTTCCTTCAAAATTATAGGAAGGGCTATGTTTGCCAGTGCCAAAATTTCCTTCATTTGGTGCAGGTATTTTATTATGGACAAGAGTCCATGTTTGCACCTACACACACACATACACACACAAGCATGCAGCAAAGGCTCCTCTTTCCAAAAAGGACAGGGATGGGGATCCTGATCTCTCCACCACTTTTAATTGTTCTCCAAGATGTGAAGGGGAGGAAAAAGCAAAACCAGGACATTCTGGGATCAAATCAGAAACCAGGATGGCTTCTGTAATTCCGGGACCGTCTCTGGAAAATAGGGACACGTGGAGGGTTTGCAATAGGCAGGTTAGAGACTTTAAATGAAAACCTAGGAATGTGCTGAACTCCCTTGAAACATTTATTTAGTCTTAAAATTCCTCAGAAGTTTTGCCTGAGACAGTTCACGCTTCTCAAAAAAACTTGTTTTGCTTCATTTGTAAGCCAGTCATATCTCTAAGCCACACGATGTGGCTTTGGCCCACATGACTTCTAGATGTGGAAAGTCTCCAAATTGTAGGCTGCAAATTTGGTTTTAGGTAAGGTGAAAGTGAGAGTTCTGGGTAGAGGGGAAAGCAACAGATCATGAGGGCAATGGTTCTTCTATGGGGTACGACTCACCTGTTCATTTTCTTATAGGCAAAGCTGAAAGAAAGTGTCGATTACTTATCAACGCTGGGACCTGGCTTCCAGGTATTATTACGGGTTATATAGCTGGAATGGGGTTCTTTGGGGTGCTAAAACTCATTCTCCAAGAGAATTCTCCAGGTCTGCGCTATTCTAGTATGTTCCCGGTAGTTTTAAATCTGTTTATTTATATAATGCATAATATATATTAGCATGTTTCTGAAACCTCCAGATATATTCTTTTTGAGGTTGTTTGAAGGACCTTGCTTTTCTGTAAATGTGAGTCAGCTTGCAAATTTAAACACAAGACTTCCTCTTTTTTCTTTTTATTTGTCTATTTGGGATTCAGAAATATTAGAATAATCCTATTAGAACCAACACACCAGAACCTGAATGAGTTCAGAAAAAAATTAACATCAGTACTGTGGGTGACCAGATTGAAAAAATGCAACGTATTGTCTTTTCAACGCTGCACTATCCGCTTCTGCTGCCTGTAGTTCTTATTTGTAGAAGAGAAGCCGCATAGCCTTTGGTCACTTCCAGACTGTCACTATTTTCGAGGTGGTGGTGTTGGTCTCGGTTGCATGCCAGCAAGTTCCAGTTGTGCAATTATAGCTGATTGGGCTGTCTTTCCCAAAAGATGTGTGTGTTTGCCATAAGGAAAGTGACGGGGGAATGCACTGGGAAGTGTGAGATAGCACTTGCTTGATGAAACATTACCTAATCTGCCCACAAACAGATCAGAATGGTTGTCTGGAAGTAACCTTTTTCTTGAAATACACATTTTAGTATAGTTTTAAATGTAAACTGGAAAGAATATCCACCCTTAAGTTTCCTCTTCAACAAATCTTGTGCAGCAAGGAGAAAAACAGTGGAATTCTCCAGGCAATTGGTTTATTGAGCATTCATCCAGCTTTGCTTGCACAAAGTTTATGTGGAGTTTAGCTATAACAAGCATTTATTCTGATTTATTTGCAGGAAGGTTATATGGCACTTCAATGAGCATCCTTCCTGCATTTTTCTTGATGTGCTCACAAGTTGTTTGCAAGTCTTTCCGTTTGTTCATCTCGCACTTTTCAATGTGTTTCACCGTAGCTTTCTCAATTGCAAAATGTTTGTATTGTTTTAAAGTAGATTCGCCGATACTTGGACAACATGTCAACATGTCTCTTTAATTGCACAAACCTATGTATTTGGAATGCGCTTGAATCTGTCCCACAAAATGCTGACATTCGGAAGACAGTCGATGTGTCCAGAGTGCCTGTGTTCCCTAAGCAGCTGCCTGCCCTGCAATTTCAGACAGACACAGTCACTTGTGGAGCTGAGACAAATTTAATCTGTGATCCCATTTCTAATTAGTTTATCTACTAATTAAATTAATTAAAACTGGCAACCCTATTGGGCAATCTGGAGCAGGTTTACTCATAAGCAATACACACTGAGTGCAGTGGGAATTACTCCCTAGCAAGTGTGTTTAAGATTGCAGCTCTGGTAAATTTATTAATGGCCAAGGGGTTTGTAATATTATTATTATTATTATTATTATTATTATTACCCCACCCATCTGGCTGGGTGTGGCTTCCAACAAATTTAAAATACAGTGGTCTGTTAAACATTAAAGGCTTCCCTAAACAGGGCTGCCTTCAGATGTCTTCTAAAAGTCTGGTAGTTGTTGTTTTCTTTGACATCTGGTGGGAGGGCGTTCCACAGAGAGGGTGCCACTACCGAGAAGGCCCTCTGCCTGGATCCCTGTAACTTGGCTTCTCGCAGTGAGGGAACCATCAGAAGGCCCTCGGCGCTGGACCTCAGTGTCCGGGCAGAATGATGGGGGTGGAGACGCTCCTTCAGGTATACTGGACCGAGGCTGTTTAGGGCTTTAAAGGTCAGCACCAACACTTTGAATTGTGCTCAAAAACATACCCACCATCACCTTTAGCATAAATTGCTTATGCTTTTTGTTGGTTCCTAATTTCCAAATTTTGTAGACATTGTATCTTTTCTTCCTGCTTCTTTTCTTCCTTCTAGTATCTTCAATAACCAGCAAACTGGGCTTTGCACGTGTATTATCCATACCATCGCCACCTTACGTATTAAAACCCGATTGAAAGGAACTCTTCAAGTTCTGGGTATCTTTCTAAGCAGCATGCAGTCCCTATTTTACTCTTCATTAGAAGCCCTTGCTTCTATTTAATTCACCACTGAGGGATTTCAGCAAGCTCAATCTGTAACTTCATCTTTCAAGGATTGTGACTGTAACAGGGTAATGAAGTGTAATCTAAATTCCACCACCAGCATCTTGCAAAATTATGCACCAACTGGAAAGGTTGCTTGGGGGTATTGAACCATAATTACAGAGATAGGAAACTCCTTTCGATAAAAGAAAAGGTTCTTCATTTCCTTCATGTATATGTCAAATACAATGTGCATTTTCTACACAGAAAGACTTTCTTGCTACAAAATAGTGTGAAGCCCATGTGTAGACTGTCATGTGTGCTGGGGTTCTATTATGCTTGTTTTTTTGCTGTATTAGTGTGGGTGGTGATGGCTTGTGACCGTGAAACACAAACATGTGCAACCAGCAGGCATGATCATCCACACCTGCCTTTGCCAACCTGGCACCCTTCAGGTGCTTTAGAGGACATCTGGAGGCACCAGGTTAGCAAAGGATGCATTGGAGGGAACCGAGGAAGAAACTGCAAGAGGTTGTCACTTTCAGCAGCTGCCCTGTGCTCCTTGTCACTTCTAGTTTCAGCCTGATTCATGGAGGGGAGGCCTGCCAATGGCTTTGTACATCATACAAAGCAATGTTTCTGAATACCAGTTGCAGGAAACCATAGAAGGAGAGAATGCTCTTGGGCTTGGGTCCTATTTGCAGGTTTCCCACAGGCATGTGGGTGGCCACTGTGGAAACAGGATGCTGGACTAGGTGGGCTATTGACCTGGTCCAGCAACCTTTTGTGATGCTCTTATCATCTGTCAGCACCCCCCATATTGCTAAACTTTCTCCCTGCTTCCCCAACAGGCTCAGATAAACAATACCGAGTCTCAGATTGGCCTTATTGAGAAGATGTTTCCCATACAGACTCGGAAAATCCTAAGGCAGGTGAGTAGAAGGAGAGGTGATGGCATTATTCAGCATATTTTGTGGCTGTAACAGAGGGTGAAATATAGGTGTGCACTGGTGTGCAAGAGCAGCAGCGGTGCTATCAATTTACCTCCTTTGCTGTTGAAATGGTACGTCTGTCTTCAGCCAGAGGGCTGCTGCTCCACATGTCATTGTTCCAGGAGGCACCAATGACACGGAGCACATTCTGCAGCAAGTTAGGTCAAGTGAGCAGGAAACATGTCGTGCATCAGGTGCTGCACACGTCTGAATTGCACCAGCATATCCTGCTTGTGAAGCCATTTAATTAGCCACTGTGGGGAAGACTACTGGATTAGATAGTAGGAGAGAAACTTGAAATTGAGCTTGCCTAACTGGTGGCTTCAGAAACAAGACACCGACCAAAATCAGCATTTTTCTAAATTTTGTAATGCAGTTCTCCAGCCAAGTAATTTCTACAGAAAGGCATATACCAGGGTAAAGTGCATGAACATGCATGGTAGCAAAAATAACATAAAAATGTATTATATTACTGAAAGCTGTGTTGCAAAAATATGTATTTTGGGATAAATTCACAGTAAAATGATTTTTTAACATTGACCTTTTTTTAATGGTAAACTGATGCTACAAGAATTGAACATATGACTGCAAAGGTGAGAAAGTGAAAGCAACTGAAGTTTGTGCCTCCCTACTAGATGGGAGGAGGCCTGTTATATTCATAGACCCTGCCACAAAAGCTCTCAGTCCAGGACCAGAAACACAAGGAAGGGGAGAATGGGAGGGAAGCGGCAAAGGTGTTGTTGACAGCAAGGGTGACCACCGTTGAAACCTCCCCCTGAATTGAAGAAAGGGAAGTGAGACAAGGTGGAAGAGAATAATAAAAATGCAAGGTTGGAAAGCAAGAGGAAAGTTAGGTTTCTAGAAGTTTTCTCAAGGAAGAAAAACAGAAAGTCAGTTGGATGTTTGTAGGAAATGTGTGTGCATTAGAGGCAGAAGAAACCAGGACTGACCAAAGCTATATGCTGTGTGTTCTCAAAGCACACATGGGCTGCATGAAGCAGCACTTGGAGCTGCCAGGTGCATGTCAGCTGCCCCACAGAAGCAGCCGAGTGACTTGTCCAAGGCCATTTAGTGAACGGATGGCTGAAAGGGGATTTGAACCTAGGTCTAATGCGGATCATTTGATGGCTGGATCTGTGTTAAAACACTTTTTGCAAATGGGCAACACATGCAGTCTGCTTCCAATAAATGTGAAATGCAACCTAGCTAACAACATATATTTGCAGCATAATTTTTGTGTAGGAGCAATCTTCAATTTGGAAGATAATGCATTCATTGGTGGAGGAACAGGGTGGGGCATCTCTGATTACCCTCTTGAGAAGCACTGGTTGGAGTCCTTCAACCTGCACCTCCTTTCTCCTCCAGGAGCTAGATTGCTTTGTAAGAAAAGAGGTGGGGTACATCTCGCAGTACCTGAAATGGCTGAGGAGTGTGGTAAGTATGAGATTCTTCTGCACCCAAGTGGTGCCTCAGGAGTGAGATGGTGCTGAACCAAAGTGGCAGCGACTACTGGACAAACCTTGCCTTGGGGTGGGGTGTTGATCAGGTGTATTAGAAGGGCAAGATGTCTCTTGTGGGAAATGCATCACGAGGGCAGAAGAAGGGAAAGTCGTGTATAAGTGAAAGGGTCAGCTGGATGAAGCCAGCATAATTCAGGAAAGAAATTGCCTGCATGGAGGCCTCTGTGACTTATTGGAGGCTTGCAAATGCCAGCTGTTCATTAATTGAGATTTTTAATTAATTCACCAAGTCTCAAGTTGTAGTTTAGGCAGAAGTAGGTGGGCTGCTTAGCAGTAGAGAGAGGGGTGAGGTGGTAGGGAGATTAGCGCAGTGCTAACACACCAACAGGAGACCAGATTGGTTATGCCATGTGTTTGCACCACTGCAACCACCCTGCTGCCTCGCCTCTTCCCCTTTGCCTCCTGATAAGCAACAAGGACCCACCTGCTGGGAAGCTGGTGTTAGTGGATCTGCTTCACCTGGTAAGCAGTTTCTGAGTTTTGGTGAAAAAAGAGTGTAAGAAATCTACTCACCTGTATTCTGTCTCTGGCCACTTCCATTCCAGGTGACCTGTTTTTAAAGCAGTGATTACAATTTGTTTGTGAGTTATAGGATGCTTCAACAAGCAATTGTTATCCCTCACTATCCAGTGCATTATGCCCTCATTTTCCTTAGCGCAAATATCCAGGTGTGCTTTTTTTTGGGGGGGGGACAGGTTTGTTGTACAAGAATAACAACTTTAATAGTGCAAGCTGAATTTGTCAGTATGTGACTGAATCCTGCCCCAAAATAGTGACAGTCTGGAAGCACCCTGTGAACAAGTTGTGATATGCGCAAGCAATTCTCCTTTTCTGTTCCAGCTAACGGAGGATGTTGCATCATGCAAACCCTTCTCCACTGCTCTAGACAATGGCCGGGTGATCTTGTGTGATCGTATTGCAGATCCCTGGGTAAGTGCTCCAGATAGTTCTTCTACTGTCTAAAATTTGCTGGCCCTCTTCCTCTTTGCCTTTTGCTTGATGTGTTTTCTCAGATCCAGGGTGTGGCTAATCAGGCCTCCCCGCCTGGCCTATGAGGTTGTGACAGGGCAGGTAAGGACAGGGCTAAGGACCCTCTGCAGGCATGCCAGGATTAGGCCCCCACATCCTCTGGACTCCCACGCAGGGGCTGCAGCCACTCCTGGCAAAGCCCTAGCCTGACTCACTATTGCTATTGTTTTCCAAAGAAGGTGGCAATGGACAGCCTTCATCAGGGCAGATTCCCTGCTTTGATTGAATCTGCGCAGAGTGCGCAAACCTGTGGGAACCAGGAATGTACATGAGCAGCATTTGGGAGACTTGCACAAAGCTCGCACAGTGGTCAGACTGTGTCTGGTCTTGAACATTTGTTATAGGGAAGGGTGTGTGTAGAAATTAGCCGAGTTGGAGCATTATGGCTGACAGCAGGGAGTCTCTCTCAGCATCTAACGCCTCTGCTCAGAGACCTGCACTGGTTACGGATTCAGTGTGCTAGTATAGAAAGCCCTTAACCACTTGAAAGCAGTTTACCTGCGAGATTGCCTTTCCCCCACATGCACCTGCTTCAATCTGTGGAACTGCCACCATTTCAGGTTCCATATAATACTCCTTACACAGTTGCAAAAAATCGATCTTTCAGTGTGGCAGAGCCCTTTTTTCTTTAGGGACACCTATCCAGACATTCTAGGACGCGGGTGGCACTGTCGTCTAAACCACAGAGCCTAGGGCTTGCTGATCAGTAGGTTGGCGGTTTGAATCTCCGCGACGGGGTGAGTTCCCGCTGTTTGGTCCCAGCTCCTGCCCACCTAGCAGTTCAAAAGCACATCCTAGTAGATAAATAGGTACCGCTCCGGCAGGAAGGTAAACGGGGTTTCCATGTTCTGCTTTGGTTCGCCAGAAGCGGCTTAGTCCTGCTGGCCACATGACCTGGAAGCTGTCTGTGGACAAACGCCGGCTCCCTCGGCCTATAGAGCGAGATGAGCACGCAACCCCAGAGTTGTCTGAGACTGGACCTAACGGTCAGGGGTACCTTTACTGTCAGGGAACTGCCATCAGTGCCGGAGGGAGAGAGAGAGCTCCAGAGGGATCCCAGAGAGCGTCATGGGATTGGGAGAGGCAGCCCATCTTCTGGGGAAGGGAATCAGCTCAGCTCCAGTGGAGAAGGGGGGCAGATGAGGGAATCTGAGAGGGAGTCACATGACTCCTTGCCTGGGACCAGTGGGGGGAGGAAGGGTTCTCCGCTGCCTACGCCTTCCTTGCGCAGAAGGCTTCCACGCAGGGAAAGTAGGAAGCGACTGGGCGTGAAAGAACTTCTATGCTGGAAGAAGTTTAAGAAACGCCCACTGACGGATTCTGCCACGGGTGACTGGCTGTCCGGACAGAAAAGGTTCACTCAGGCAACCCAGCCAGGTGTGGGCACCGGCTTACGCACGAGCAACCCCTTGAACCATTACATTTACCTTTACCTTTATCCAGACATTCTGGCAGCAGAAGTAGTGTGTTTTAATCTGATTTTAGCTTATCATTGACACTGATTTTTTTTTAACGCTTTAAACAGCTGCTTTCAACAGTTTATACTGACAATTTTACTGTTCTATTTGTTTTGTAAGCCACTTTGAGGTTTCTCTTGACAGCCAAAGGGTATATGAATTTTATGAAGGAACGAAATACTGTATGAAAGTAAACTTTTCATTTGGCGATCTGCCAGCCATGGCGTCCATGTCTTCCCAGAGGATGGAGCCCATCACCAGGGTTTGTCTCTCTGTTCTTCCTCCCCCAGAATGCCTTCTGGTTCAGCCTGGGCTGCTGCGCCTTCTTCCTCCTCCCCAGCATCTTCTTCGCCATCAAGACCACCAAGCACTTTCGTCCCATCCGGCACCGATTAGTGTAAGTGGGGTGGGCCTTGGGGGCGGCCTTCACATTCAATTCAGTTCATCTGCTTATTAGATAATTTGCACACCAGCCTTTGCTGTACAACCCCCTGGGTGACCGCCAACAATGAAACAGCATGGAGAAGAAAAGATAAAAGCACAGTAATAGCAGCCATAAAACCATATTATCCAGCACGGCTGTAGCTCAGTTAGATGCTGTGATGGGCGCAGGGGCAAGGGGCCTGCAGGGTGAAATTGGGAGCAGGGACCACAATCCAGCACCCTGTGAATGACCCATCAGGTCCAGAGGCCTTATGGACACCCACAGTGTTTCCTCCCACTCTGTTAAACAGAGAATAAAAGTCATTGATTTATAAGAGCCACATATGTCAGCCTGTTGCCACATATCCCATGGCCTTATTTAACCTTTTTAATCAATACCTGTTTTATTAGCCTTCAAACCTTTTACATGACAGGTGTTCTACTGTCCCTTTTAAAGGTCAGTGTTGCCTCTGTAACTCCACTTAGGTGGAGACCGTCATGCAAGTCAATGCAGTATACAGTGGTACCTCGGGTGACATACGCTTCAGGTTACATACACTTCAGGTTACAGACTCTGCTAACCCAGAAATAGTGCTTCAGGTTAAGAACTTTGCTTCAGGATGAGAACAGAAATCGTGCTCCAGCGGCGTGGCAGCAGCAGGAGGCCCCATTAGCTAAAGTGGTGCTTCATGTTAAGAACAGTTTCAGGTTAAGAACGGACCTCCGGAATGAATTAAGTACTTAACCCGAGGTACCACTGTAAATTATCTTCTCATGAGGCTGTTTCCAGGCTAGTCTTTGGAGACCCTTGTGAGTATTTTCTTCTTGAGGAAATGAGCAGGTGGCAAATTTGAAATGTCACTTTTTCTCTCATGTTATATAACCTGTCATTGCCCTTCATAATCTATTGTATTGAGGCTGTGGTTTGCAATTTGGGAGTAATTCTTAGTTGGCCATAATAAACATCCTACCTTCCCCAAAACAAGCTAATGAGGTGAAATAGCTTCACAAATTTGTATTGTCACTTCTCCCCAAACCTCTCATTTGTGTTTTTCCCCCATGTTGTGTCTAGCTCTACTGGATCAGAGGAAACTTACCCCTTCCATATCCCACGCGTCACATCTCTGCGACTGTAAGCAACTCCATGTGTTCGGATATCCAGGTGAGAGAGATGTGCATTCTCTGGGGATCTGTGACCCCTGGGCTGCTCATGCGCACGTCCTTCCCTCTTTCTGCCACAGAATCATCAAGTGCAAAGTTGCCACAATAGCTCAGAGAACAAAACTTCTGGGCACCTTTGCTAGTGTGAGAATCTCAGAGCCACCAAGTGCTCTTTGACAACATTCAGCTTTCCCAGGTTAAGCTCTTAAAATTACAAAAATGGCACCAAGGTAATAATTACTGCTTAAATACTTTCCTTGCTCCTTTCTAGGCATTTGGAAGTGCCTCAGATTCCTGTAGATAAAACTAAAATACTGTGCTCACTGAATCTCTGAATGGCAAGAGACTCTACCAGGTGTTCCTGAGGTTTATTTTCCTTGGAATGAGGGTCAATGGAGATTGTGATGTATTTAGAATATATTGTTTTATTTAAACACATACACAACATGAGCATAGGATGGAGGGGCGCGCAGCAGTAACACCCCAACAGATCTTGCTTCCCCATTACGGATTTATTGGCAGGAGTCCCTCTCCTGCCTTTTTTGTGACCTCCTGCCTTTTTTGTGACCTAGCTAGGAATTTCCCTTCTTCCACAAAGACAAGCCTTGGTTTTAGAGAAAGGCAACTGACATTGGAGCCGCCCCCTGCACCCCCCCCCCCCGCACATTCAGCCCTCTCAAGTCAAGTCGCTCTGTGTCTCCTTTCAGTTCAGCCAAAACACACAGACACGTCCCCACTTGCCCTCTTGTTCCAGCCAGGTGAGGTGGGAAAAGCCCACCTATTTAGCTCTATGGCAGCAAGGCTTACACTAAACTGCTGATGTGACAGTACCTAGCTGAGTGGCTAAGGTCATTAACTTTACATAGGAATTGGTTTGACCAGTAAGTAGGTTTTTCTACTGGATTCCAAACCTCACAGGCCAGTAAGGGACCCACTGGTATCATCCAATCCTATAACAATCCCTCCAACCCTATAACAAACTAGTTTTTCTCCCTTCTGTTAATAGTACAACAGATGAAAGTGAGGGCGAGGGCCATTTTGCTGTCTAGGGAACAGATAAGCACACAGAACCTTTAGGACCAGCTTCTCTCCACCTTAACCTGTTAAATGGCAGCAGTCATGTCAACCATCCTCAAATAATCCAGCTGGAGTTTCCGACTGAGATTCCCGATGCCTTTCAGAACTCTGCTAAAATCAATTAGGCCTGTCTGCCTATAGAGCCCCTCATCCAGACCATTCTCATGTTTTTCACTTGTAGGAATCACCATGGGAAAATGGCTGGATCCTTCCAAGGGTGGCCCTCTGCGCTGCGTGGGGTTGATACTGAGCTCTTCATGAAGTGACTTCTCTTGGACTGAAAACTTTTTAACCCATCACTGTTACTCATCTCATCACAAATTGGCTTTCCTCCCAAGTATCCCTTGCTGGTCCTCCTCACTCAAAGAGAGCGAGTAAATTTGTAGATGATGGCCAGGTGTCCTCTTAAGCCTTTCTCTTTCTGTTGCAACCTGGTATGAGGCCCGTTTCACCACTTGGCAGGTTACTTTTTAATAATAACATAGATGAGGCTGAGTAGGGATGGAGGGTTCTGTAGATTTCAGTTCTCACAGTTTCTCGTTTTTCAAATCTTAAATTCACTTCTCCACATTTCTGCATTTTTAAAAAACCCACATCATGAGAATTCATCAGCATGTTAGTTGATCTTCCCCTGATAAACATAATATTATATGCAGTGTGCTATTTCCCTTAATATATGCTTTTTTGTAAGCACTCTTTCTGGGAGAACTGCATCACAAAATTTCAAATTCGTGAGACTTTTGAGGCACAGCTGTGTTTCAGTTTGCATATTAGATTCAGCTTTGAATACATCCTGAATCAGTTTCCTTCCCCACTTCTAGGGTAGGAGGAATCCCCCACCTAGCAAGCGGCAAGAACTGTGGTTGTGCTGGCCTGGTGTGTCTGCGGGAGTTGAGGTTGCCAAAATAATTCCACATTGCCAAAAGCATCCACCTCCTCCCCTGATCAAAATCTCAGATTTCAACTTAATAATCTTTATTTATATAAGAAATGGTGAAATGTGGGATGAAGCAGAAAACAGATAGGCAGCAGAGAGAGAGAGAGAGAGAGAGAGAGAGAGAGAGAGAGAGAGAAAACAATTTATTCCCTAACCTAGCTTAGAATACACAGCAGCTTCCAGGGTCTGAACCTGAGACCTTCTACATGCAAGGCAGGTGCTCAACCAGCAGCCACTGGGCTGTGTTCCTCCCCTGCGTTCTCCCTCCGTGATGCTGCCTTCCATGTATGCACAAAGGGGTAATGCAGTGCTTATTTTTAGCAAAATTCTCTCCGCATGCCACACCAGCAAGAAGCAATTCAGGCACTGCTTTCCCCTGGTGCTATGCATGTAGGAGTGTTGCTAAAAATAGACATGTTATTCTGTCCTTTGGATGTGCATGCCTCTGTATGTGCCACGCAGAAAGAAAATGGCCCGCTCCCACGTATGCATGAAGCTCCTGCCATCTGAGCCCTTTGGGGACAGCAATCCGCCGGTCTTGTGTATAATAATGGCTGCAATTTGCCCCAGTCGGTTTGGGAACATTGGCCTATTAATAAATAAGGCACTTTGGAAAGATGTGGCTATCAAAACTTTCTGTTGCATGTGTGTCTTTGGGGAAGAGCAGGGGATGATTTGGGAAACCCAGGAATGTCAGAGGTTGTCTCATACTGAGTTAGACCAGTGGCTCACCCAGCTTAGAATTCTCTACACTGACTGGCAGCAGCTCCCCAGGGTTTGGGACAGAGGACTTTCCCTGCCCTACAATTGGGACTGAACTTGGGGGTTTCAGGGAGCTGTGGCCTTTCCCCCTCAAGATGTGGAGAGTGTCCTGTGGAGATAGTTTAGCTGCTTTAGCACTCAGAGTTTCTTACTCTGTTCACAAGTAGGTTTGGCAGATTCAGTCCAGAGAGAAGTTTGTCAGGCTCAACTTCTCCTACTAGTGCATCATTATCAGGCAAGAGAAGAGAAGCCTGCTATTGGAAAAAATTAATTTGACATAGCCTTGATATATTTGATAAAAATATATGTCATATCAGGATGAAGGCATAACAAGTAGCCATGAACAAATTTCTCAATGTGTATCAAAAATATAACCTCCACTGATTAATCTGAAAAACAGGAAAACCCATATTGTACTGAAATTTCTATTTCCCCTATCAGTAGGGCACCAGATTGGTGAAGCTGCTGTGCAAAATCCAGAAGTCACTTGTGAGTTGCCAGTGCACCAGGGCCTTCCTGCAAATAAGGTCGGGCAACTAGAAATACAAAAAAATCTGGAGGTAACTTTAAACGGGGATAATTTCATAAACATTCCTAACGTAGTTTAGATCAGGCTTCCTCAACCTTGGCCCTCCAGATGTTTTGAGACTACAATTCCCATCATCCCTGACCACTGGTCCCGCTAGCTAGGGATCTTGGGAGTTGTAGGCCAAAAACATCTGGAGGGCCAAGTTTGAGGAAGCCTGGTTTAGATGAAGGATCACTACTGATGTGTGCAGTCACACCCTGCTTTTACATATGACAAAAAGTCATGCCAAGTTTTTTAAGTGTTTCAAAACCTATGTAACATGCCTGAGCAAAGGTGGCAGCGTGTCCAAAGAAATGTGCCTCACTCCTATAGTATGTCCACATTTGTGGCTTCAAACACAAGGAGGTCTTTTTCTCTGCTGCGTTTCAGGTTGCATTTCTACACAAGAGAGGGGTGGGGATGTCTCCACTGTCACACATGACCTTTTGGTTTCCCTGCCCCTGCAACCTCCCACCCCCTGAGGAATTAATGAAACTGTCCTAGGCACATGGGCACTCAGCTGCAGATGCATAATGGCTTTCTCAAATGTACACACCGTTATTAAGAAGCAAATTGCAGCTTAGGTTTTCTAGTTGGGCCGAAGCTGATTTGAGAAAAAGGCACCAAACAGCAGTATTTGTCAAGAAACTGCAGCATCAATATGGATTGTGGCTAACATCACGCAAATGTGGTTTCAAAAACTAGCAGTGGAAATGCGGAGTAAGTGGTCATGTGAACATGTCCTGAAAAACAATTGTCTGTTTCCCAGCCTGAAATTTTCTAGAATACTAAATCTCACTAGATCTGGCAACATTTTGTTTTCTCTTAAACCAGCTGAGTGCAGTCAAATTTAGCTACCTTCTGGCAGGGCATTTGAATACAACAGCAGTTTTCTCCGGCAGGATTAAATCTGCTGAAAGCTATAATCTGCCAAATGTTTCAGTTTAGTTTAGTTATAATCTGTTGGAGCTTTTTCAAGTGGTATTTTTTATAGCTGGAGATTATTATTATTTTAAAGGGGGGGGGAGGTTTATAAAAGGACCTTATGCCAGGCTTTGCCAGCCAGGTGCCCTCCAGATGTTTTAGACTCCCAAGTGCCGTCAGGTCCAGCCAGCACGGCTGCCCTCCCATCAGTCCCAGTGTCGTATGGCTGGGCTGACTGGGGTTGATGGGAACATATGGAGAGTGCCAGGCTGGCAACGTCTACCGTACACTCAAGGCAGTTAAGCATATGTCTGTGTGTTTAAAAAAAGGAAATTGTTTCGAAAAGGACACTAAAAGACATTGCCAGTTAAAAAAAAGGCAGCCCAGAATAAAACATTTTTCATCCTTTCTTCAGAAAGAGCTGCTTGAGGTCTGCTCCTTTTGTCACTTCTGATGAATGGGCAATTATACTTAATAGTTTGGATAGTGCCCTTTTGTGGAAGTGCATTATTCACCCTCCAACATGCTCCTGCTTAAGCGGACCACTGCTCCCTCTCCTTGGCCCTCGATGGCTCATGGCTGTTACTTCTCCAAACCCCTCAGCCAGCTAAAGTCACCAGCTCCCTTGAACAGGAAAGGGGATTCTCTCCTTTGCTGCCTCCAGTGCTCCCCTGGGATCCTGCACAGCACTATTCTAGCCCTCTGTCTGGCCCTTGGACTCTGCCCAGGCACCCCTTCACCCCACCCTGCATGGAGGACACAGAGGGGGGAGTGAGTGTGTGTAGAAGCTACCTGCTGTGCAAAGGTAGAGTTGGGCCCACCCATTTCTGGCATGTGGCCCTCAGAAGGTTCCCCAGAAGGGCATGTGGCCCTTGGGCCGAAAAAGCTTTCCTCCCCCCTCTACAGTGCTGTCTCTCTTTCACTCCCTTTTCAAATCACTGTTCTCAAAGCACATATTTTCTATTAAGGCTTTGGCTCAACCTCTAAAGTGCTCATCTCAAGTGTTTAAAGAGCATCCCACAATCCCTTTGGCTCAGCTCCAATGGTCCCCTTCATCTCCAACAGAAACTGGTCGGCAGCATGTGGGGCTGCACTTGCTCATGGCCATCCTTTGCTAGCCCTGCCCACCCCTCTCTTTGCCTTCTCCATTGCGGAAGCTGTTGAAACGCAGGTTGTAAGCAGCCTGAGAAAGGGAGCGGTGTGCTTTGGCTTGTGTTGTATGCACAGGATATATATCCATTCTGAAGGAAATCAGCCCTGAGTGCTCACTGGAAGGACAGATCGTGAAGCTGAGGCTCCAGTACTTTGGCCACCTCATGAGAAGAGAAGACTCCCTGGAAAAGACCCTGATGTTGGGAAAGATGGAGGGCACAAGGCGAAGGGGATGACGGAGGACGAGATGGTTGGACAGTGTTCTCGAAGCTACAAACATGAGTCTGACCAAACTGCGGGAGGCAGTGGAAGACAGAAGTGCCTGGAGTGCTTTGGTCCATGAGGTCACAAAGAGTCAGACACGACTAAACGACTAAACAACAACAACATGCACAGGATATAGCAATCCCCCCCATTTTGCTGATGAGGAACGAAGGGTGAGAGAGCGGTTTGCCCATGGCACTCATCCGATTCCTAGACAAACACTGATTCCAAAGCCGGATCCCAGCACAGTGTTCCAGGGCTTCGTCTTGGAGTAGGGGAAGCCTCAGCCATGGGTGGCTCAAGACTATTTCGTGCTTGTGGACAAAGCTGTGTTCTCACGATACATTTAAAGTACATCTCCCCCTTCAAGAGAAGAATCTGGTCATTTGTTCCTCCTAGGGAAGAATCGGTTTCGATTCTCTCAGTTTCTATTTCTTCCACATTTCTGCAGCAATTTGCACTTAACAACAACAACAACAAACACCTCATGAACATTATTCAGCATTTCGGTGTGAATTTGTCCCAATAAATACATTTTTGTATTCAGTGTTTTTTTTACTAATATGAAGCAAGGCTGTGTGTCGGGTCTCATATTGTTTTGGAAAGTGCAAATTTGATCAATTTGACTTTAAATGTAAAACAAATTACATTCTCCCCCTTCCCTGCCCCTCAGAGAGCTGCAATTCCTGGCACTCTTGACATTAAAACTTTAAATGTATGGTGTGTAAATAGCCCAACATGACTTGTTGATGAGTCTATTTTCAACACTTGTGATGGGACAGCAGCTACCAGATGGGCTGCTTAGCTCTGCTCTTCCGCACCTCACCACAGCTGCAGTCCACTCTCCAGCCTCTGCCACTTGAGGCAGCTGCCTCACTCGGCCTAACAGCTGGGCTGCCCCTGCCAAAGGGCACCATTTCTCAGCAGCCTTGAGCTCCCACAGCTTCCCATGTGTTAATTAACTATCATAACCATTTATTTAGTTACTTGATTTATTTTATTTTATTTATTTATTTATTTTGCCCTTCATCCGTAGATCTCATAGCAGTTCACAGAATAAAAAGACAAGATAAAAACCGCAAAACACACAATAAAAACACACAATAAAAACAAAAACAAACAAACAAACCAGTAACCCCCTCCACCCTCTCTCTTCCTTCATAGTAAAAAGGTAAAGGGACCCCTGACCATTAGGTCCAGTCGTGGCCGACTGTGGTTGTGGCACTCATTTTGCTTTATTGGCCGAGGGAGCCGGCGTACAGCTTCCGGGTCATGTGGCCAGCAGGACTAAGCCGCTTCTGGCGAACCAGAGCAGCACACGGAAATGCCGTGTACCTTCCCACCGGAGCGGTACCTATTTATCTACTTGCACTTTGATGTGCTTTCAAACTGCTAGGTTGTAGTTGGCACATTATGATGGCTGAGTTTATCTTTCTATGCAAGTCATGGCGGGGGGGGGGCGTTCTTTGGGAAAAAAACAACAACCCACAACCCCAGTTTCAATAAGCGATTGCATATTGTGGCATGTCTGCCTTGGGACAATGAAGTGTCAAATGGCAAGACCTCTGCTATGAAATAATAAGCAATTGTTTATTCTGTGGGCAAAAATAGAGCTGTCTACTTCTGATCCTCTTATAATCAGGATAGCTCAAGAGCTGAGCTGCAAAAAGAGGCCTTGAGGCAGTATGTATTATTCATATCCCGTCCTGCGCCTCAGCCATGTAGATTCCAAACACCCACATTTTTGTTCCTCAACTCAAGGATGGTGGGTACCATGGTTCTCCTTTAATCACCGAAGTGCACAGAGATGTCAGCGGTCACATTTAATGTGCACATGACTGACATTTCCTTTCTCAGGCTGACCAAAGGCACTGAGATGCAGTCCGAGTAGATACTGCACTGGTTTCACACTTAAAGGGGCTGGCATTGCATTAAGAACAACCCCCCACCCCCACCCCCAAA